TGTTTTAAATTTAAATTGTCTTCCATTTGCAAAGTGTCTCACTTAGCTTCTCAATTCAAGAAAAAATTACTTATTTTATGAAAAAATTACTTAAGATTTTAGTTTTTTGCAGTGTGGAGCCGCACCAACAGAATAAACAATAGCTTGCACTGCAAAAAAAAAAATAAAAACCAACCAACATTTATTGAATTAAGTGTATTTATCTTTCATTCCAGCAGGTTAATAATATGATTTGCTAATGGAATGAGTATTTTTACTCTTAAAATAAGATAATTAAATAATATGCATTTGAAATAGGAAAATGCAATTGTTCTTTCTTATTTTAAATGTAAATTATCTGTTTCATTGGCAAAGTGTCTCACTTACCTCCTCAATTCAAGAACTGATGCACTTATTTTAACAAAAAAGTGACTTAAAATTTTATTTTTTTGCAGTGTGGAGCTGCAGCTTGCACTGCAAAAACAATCTAAAAAAATAAGCCAACATTTGTTGAATTAAGTGTATTAATCTTTCATTCCAGCAGGTTAATAATATGATTTGCCAATGGAATGAGTATTTTTACTCTTAAAATAAGATAATTAAATAATATGCATTTGAAATAGGAAAATGCTTTTGCTTTTCTTTCTTATTTTAAATGTAAATTATCTGTTTCCTTGGCAAAGTGTCTCACTTACCACCTCAATTGAAGAACTAATGCACTTATTTTAAGAAAAAATAAGTTTAGATTTTTTTCCAGTGTGTTCCCCATGGCTGTGAAACGCATACATCCTACGTTTTGTTGCACTAATGTAGTCTTTTTGCACCAGCAGACTATTTATTGAGCATATCTGAACTATATCTAACAGTGATGCTGTTAAAATAGAACTATGCTTCCTTATATCCTGTTACGGTGACATTAAAAGCAGCTTTTTTCCTTTCAGTTCTTTCTCAGTTTTCAGTATTTAGTCAATGCAATTCATCGAATGCATTCATGCACAACACTGTGGACACTGACATCCTGAATTCACTATCTCATCCCCCTGAGTTCAAGTCGAACACCCAATGATTGACTGCTCTATCTGTGATAAGCTCTCAAAGTTTTTATTTTCTGACCACACAGGAGAAAATGCCTGAAAGCGTTTCCCCCTTAGATCAGACAAAACCATGGTCAACCACAGGGAGATGAGAAGTCAGATCTTCTCATTGAACACAGACGGTGAAGCCATGTGGTGTTGGATGATAACAGCCGTGGAGTAGTGTGGTCATAGTGTGACTGTTCACGACGGTTGCAAATATTCAAATCCTGCCCCACATACGCACTCATGACCTCACCCGCTCTTCACACACACATCCTGAATAGATATGGATATATGGTCTGTTGCTGTAGAGGAATTTTTTCATCAAATTCTCAGAATGTTTCAGGTGTTAAAACAGAAATGATGGGAAAAAGGATTAAAAACACAGATTCTTACACGGGACATTTTTAGAAGCAACTTATGGAGGAGAGTTGTTTGTATCTAAAGGCTGGACCTTTTGCTGCGTCAACCATTGACTTTGCAGGTGAACTAGCTGCTTCTGCTGCTTTAGGTGTGAACATAGCGTTATGCGAAGACTGGGTGGCAGGCAGGTTGCCATGGTTACCACCATTGTTCCTGACCACTGCATGTGTCTTAGTGGTTATTGGCTACCATAAATGGATGAGACCATGTGGGCCCCTTGTGGCTGCGGGCCCCTGGAACTATAATGCCCGTTCCGTAAAAATTCAAAAAATATCCACTGGACTTGGTTTCCAAGATTCGAAGACAAATCTTGGACATTTGAAGACCTGGAAACCAAGTCCAGTGGATATTTCTTGAATTTTACGGAAAGATTTGAAGACGTTTCGCCACCTGTCCAGGAAGCTTTCTCCGACATTTGAATTGAGGTGGCGAAATGTCTTCAAATCTTGGAAACCAAGTCCAGTGGATATTTTTTTGAATTTTTACGGAATGACTTTGACCTGGATGACTGAGAACCTTCATCAGCATAAATCTCGTTGGATAATCTGCCTGGCCCACAGGCCGACTGAGGCCCCTGGACCGATTTTTTATTTTTTTTTTTGGTCCTTGCTTGCAGTTTAAGTGGATACAAGATTTCCATCTATTGTGGCAAATGTTAATTTTTTCTTTCCAAGTTTTGGTTCAACATTGATCTAGATCAGGCGTCACCAACCTTGTTAAGGCTAACGGCCACTTCAAGGCTACTGAGTCCTAAGAAAGGCTACCAATTAGTGGTGTGAAAAAAATCAATTTACAGCACTTGCTTTTTTTATCTATACATTCCATTTTGATCGTTAGGAAAAATCTTGCAATATATAGTGATATTGCAATATTGTGATAACGTATTTTGATCAATCGTGACACGTATAATAATATAATAAACACACATGCCAATATTCACCCCTACTACCAATACCGACCCAGGAACTGCAAGGGTTAGCATTCACCTGAACTTCATATTTTTACATAACATATAACATAACATATTTTTGTTGTTTCTTTTCATTTCAAATTTTATTTTAGACATTTTCATTTTGAAATGCTCTATAAATGATTAAAAATAGAAGAGCAACAGAATAAAAAAAATATTTCAAACTTGGCCCACTGAGGAGTTGTTTTATTTTCAGAACACCATGTGGTACTGGAGGGTACGGAAGAGGGTTAGGGCCACTCAAAAAAAAAAAAGGTTAACTGATTTTTAAATTTTATTTCAGTTTAATATGGGAATTTTGGATCTTAATGTAGATGGGCAGCATGAAGGTAGAGATGTGGAGCTTCACTGACAAATGTGAGTTGTGTGGGAGGGCCAGTGACACATTGGTGGAAAATGATGGAATTAGGCAACTTTTTACGTGCCCGAGGGGTCCCCTCATTAATGGAGGAGCAGAAGGTCATTAAAACAAGAGAGCTAGTCTCTAAAACAGACATGGCTACGGCTTGATGGTAACATGTTTGCTAGCTGTCAGAATTCTGAGAAAAAAGTCAGAATTCTGAGAAAAAAGTCAGAATTCTGAGATTAAAGTCAGAATTCTGAAAAAAAGTCAGAATTCTAAGATTAAAGTCAGAATTCTAAGATTAAAGTCAGAATTCTAAGATTAAAGTCAGAATTCTGAGATTAAAGTCAGAATTCTGAGATTAAAGTCAGAATTCTGAGAAAAAAGTCAGAATTCTGAGATTAAAGTCAGAATTCTGAAAAAAAGTCAGAATTCTGAAAAAAAGTCAGAATTCTAAGATTAAAGTCAGAATTCTGAGATTAAAGTCAGAATTCTGAGATTAAAGTCAAAATTCTGAGATTAAAGTCAAAATTCTGAGAAAAAAGTCAGAATTCTGAGAAAAAAGTCAGAATTCTGAGATTAAAGTCAGAATTCTGAAAAAAAGTCAGAATTCTAAGATTAAAGTCAGAATTCTGAGATTAAAGTCAGAATTCTAAGATTAAAGTCAGAATTCTGAGATTAAAGTCAGGATTCTGAAAAAAAGTCAGAATTCTAAGATTAAAGTCAGAATTCTGAGATTAAAGTCAGAATTCTGAGATTAAAGTCAGAATTCTGAGGAAAAAAGTTAGAATTCTGAGATTAAAGTCACAATTCTGAGATTAAAGTCAGAATTCTGAGATTAAAGTCAGAATTCTGAGATTAAAGTCAGAATTCTGGAAAAAAAAGTTAGAATTCTGAGATTAAAGTCAGAATTCTGAGATTAAAGTCAGAATTCTGAGATTAAAGTCAGAATTCTGAGATTAAAGTCAGAATTCTGAAAAAAAGTCAGAATTCTGAAAAAAAGTCAGAATTCTGAGATTAAAGTCAGAATTCTGAAAAAAAGTCAGAATTCTGAAAAAAAGTCAGAATTCTGAGATTAAAGTCAGAATTCTGAGATTAAAGTCAGAATTCTGAAAAAAAGTCAGAATTCTGAAAAAAAGTCAGAATTCTGAAAAAAAGTCAGAATTCTGAGATTAAAGTCAGAATTCTGAAAAAAAGTCAGAATTCTGAAAAAAAGTCAGAATTCTGAAAAAAAGTCAGAATTCTGACTTTAATCTCAGAATTCTGACTTTTTTTCAGAATTCTGAAAAAAAGTCAGAATTCTGAAAAAAAGTCAGAATTCTGAAAAAAAGTCAGAATTCTGAGATTAAAGTCAGAATTCTGAAAAAAAGTCAGAATTCTGAAAAAAGGTCAGAATTCTGAGATTAAAGTCAGAATTCTGAAAAAAAGTCAGAATTCTGAAAAAAGTCAGAATTCTGAGATTAAAGTCAAAATTCTGTGAAGAAAGTCAAAATTCTGACTTTTTTCCCATGTTAAACTGAAATAAAATTAAAAATCAGTTAACTTTTTTTCTTTTCAGTGGCCCTAATCCTCTTCCGTATGAGGGCCCCTTGCTGCCTGCAGGCACCACGTTGATGACCCCAATCATTAAATATCAGATGCTGGTTTTATTTAAAAGGTTATACAGATTTGAAGCGTTTTTCTTTTGATTTTAACTTTTATAGAAGTTGGATTTTTAAATATTATCTGCACTTTTGACTAGTGTTGCCCTGATACCGATACCAGCATCAGGCTGGGCCCCAATCCAGCACTAAAATGGTGGTATTGGAACCGGCGAGTACCGAAAAATGAGGCACTGATACCATTTTGAGAGCAAAACGTTTATTGAACTATTGTCACCTATTCCAGATAGGCAATAAAAAGGTAGGCAGCAGCTTGACAAAGCCATGATGGCAATGAGTTTACATCCAAGTAGTCTGCAGTTCTTACACACACATCAATTTCTAACAGGTGGTATCATTATCGGCCGATACTGCACAGCCAGGTTCGGTATCTTGGCTAAAAAAGTGGCATCGGTGCAACACTACTTTTGACCTTACAGTTGATCTGCTGCTTTAGAATCTTTAAATGTCTTCAGCTTCGAGAATCCTCCTGTTTTGGTCGAAGTTCCCGTCGTCTTTCTGCCGTTTGTGGTGCCGACTGTGACGTTCTTGGTGTTTCTGTGCCGCAGCTCACGTGGAGAACGAGGAGCAGTACGTCCAGTCCATGGAGAAGTTTGCTTCCAACTACATGAATGATGTGGAAGGAGAGCTCGGTGCCGCCTTCCTCAAGTTCGCCGTGTTCACCAAAGAGCTGGCGGCGCTCCTTAAGAACCTGGTGAGCCTAAAAGCATCTGGATGCTTTAATCTCATTAAAACTGCTTTGCTCCTTCTTTGCTGTTATCCTCTGCTGTATCAGTTGGTTGGATAAATAAATGAAGGGATGCTTGGCGTTCGCTTTACCTGCAGTTTATTTAACGTGACTTTGTCTGTGCAGTTGCAGAACATGAACAACATCATCACGTTTCCTCTGGACAGTCTGCTGAAAGGAGACCTGAAAGGAGTGAAAGGGGTCAGTGTTTCTGTCCAGGTTTCAAACCGACACATCTGCTTTGATTCTGCTTTTGCTTTGATTTCTGGACTCTAGAAACTAAAGATGTTTGTTTTTATTTGTCAATTTTCTTTAATATTTGAATTTCATTGAGAAAAATATTCCTAATAGTTTTTTTTAAGAAGCTTTTCCTCACTTTGTCATGTTTATAATCCTGCTCCAAACTCTGGGATTGCGATTACCTTCTCCCATCCTTGCGGAAAAATTATTTGAAGATCATCCGTTTTCCCTCTGGTTTCTAATTTTTGCGGCGTTCTCCTCTCACTATAGATCAGCCCAGTCCTCTAACCTGGCTTTTAAATTTTTTTTTTTTTTTATTATTTTGGTGGAAAAAAAGACAGATATTCCTGGAAAAACAGATGCTCCCTCTAATTCCTCCAGATTCATTAAATGATTTTTGATTTTCTGCACCTTAGAGGAAGAAATATGAAAAACCTTTCCATAACTTTCTCGAGTAACATTGTTTTTAGTCACCAAATTGTATTTTTTTTAAAACATTTAAATAATACCCAACATTTCATTTCTCTTCTAGATCACTAAAGTGTTTTTGGATTGGATTAAATTAAATTTGTTCTCTGAAGCTTTTCTATCCTCGACGACTCATCGTTTATTGATTCTTCTTTTGCAATGAACCGTTATTAATTGCCCCTGATTCCTGTTTTTCTTCTTAAGTTTATATTATTTTTAGAAGATGTATGCGTACAACCTTCCCCAACTCTCCCCACTCCCCACCCCCCATTGCGATCATTGCACTTGCCCGGCGGGCAAATGCAATGATCGCAAAAAAAATGTGTCTGTGATTTTTTTTCAGGGATTTTAAAGTAATTTTGAATGATAAATAAAAAAATGTTTGCGATCATTGCATTTGCCCGCCGGGCAAGTGCAATGATCGCAAAAAAAAATTGTCGGTGATTTTGTCGGTGATTCTAAAGTAATTTTGAGTGATAATTTTTTTTTTTTTTTGCGATCATTGCACTTGCCTGACGGGCAAATGCAATGATCGCAAAAAAAATTTGTCTGGGATTTTTTTCAGGGATTTTAAAGTAATTTTGAATGATAACATTTTTTTTCATTGCATTTTTTTGAAGACTGGTTGAAAATACTTTTCTGGGCTCGATGTTAACTATCGCACAATAGCCCAGGGTAAGTAGTTTTTATTGTCGGGAGAGAACAAATTTCATTGCATTTGCCCGCCGGGCAAATGCAATGAAATTTGTTCTCTCCCGACAATAAAAACTACTTACCCTGCGATGGTTAACATCGAGCCCAGAAAAGTATTTTCAACCAGTCTTCATCATTAAAAGTGCAGCCAAGGTCTCTCCGCCAGACAATAATCACTGTTTTTTATCTTCTCTTTTATTTCTGGTTTAATGGAACATCTAAAATAGAGAATTTGATTTTAAACATTTGTATTGAGAAGACTATTTTAAATAGAAGGTGGCACAATTTATCATCATTAAGCATTAGCTCATTTTACCGTAAATGACCTGTAAAATTAACCGTCAAAGTCAAAGTCCTTTCATCCACCAAGAATTAATGACGTCTTTGCTTCTTTTCAGGACCTGAAGAAGTCATTCGATAAATCCTGGAAGGATTACGAGACCAAACTGTAAGAATATTAATATTACTTTCAAATTGGTGCAGATTCAGTAAAGGGTAAAGAGGCGGATAATTGAAGCCATTTATGTTAAATGTTAAATACTTTCAGATTGGTGTGATTTTTCTATACTTATAACCACATCTTGAACTTGTTGCAGAGCAAAGATTGAGAAAGAGAAACGAGAACACGCCAAGCAGCACGGCATGATTCGGACGGAGTTCAGCGGAGGAGAAATCGCAGAGGATATGGAGAAAGAAAGACGAACTTTCCAGCTTCAGATGTGTGAGGTTAGTGATACATGAAATATCGTGACGACACAAGCAATGAGCTGAGTGCTGGACTGCTGGGTGAACTGGTCTGGCTTTAGTGGTTTGTAGGGGAACCATGTGAAAGTGAAATGATGTGAACCGCTTTGAGAAAGTCTCAGCAGATTAGATTTCTCAAACTGGACAAACAGACCTGGTCTGAGTCATCACTTCTTTCTTGTAATTATTCATTTTAATTTACTCAGACTTTCTTTTGATGTCTGGAAGTGATCTTTATAAACAGTTTTTCTTCTTTGAACTATCAGAATGAAACAGAAACAATATGTCTGGTTTTTTTATTTTATTTTAGTGATAGTTACCTTTTTGCATAAATTGATTAGTGCAAACAAAACAATCCACTGGACTTTGTGTCCAAGTTTGAAGACGCTACGCTTCGCATTCATCAAACCTGCGGAGACCTAAACTAGACGTTTGTCAAATTAGCAAGGAAATCCAAAAGACGCAGCAGAACATAACGGTGTGAAGATGGAACGCACAAATATCGCCATCCCATATGTTGCTAAATCTGAAAAACTCAAGAGGATTTTCTCCAAACATAAAATTCCGGAACATTTTAAACCAAACAAGACCTTAAACAGAGACTAGTTCATCCTAAAGACCTAATCTGAGCAGAGTGGTGTCTGCAGTTTAATGCAGTGAGGAATGCTCTGATCTTTTATATTGGAGAAACCAAACAACCTCTCCACAGACGCATGGCCCAACACAGAAGAGCGCCCTCCTCTGGACAAGACTCTGTGGTACATCTACACCTTATGGACAAAGGACATTCTTTGGAGGACCAGAATGTTCGCATTTTGGACAAAGAAGACAGGTGGTTTGAGAGGGGCGTGAAGGAAACCATCTATGTTAAAAAAGAAAAAACAACCTTAACCAGAGGAGGGGACTCAGTAGCCTCGTGAGACCATCCTGATCTCGCGAGCTTTCAAGGTTTCACTCGCAGATCAGTCTGGAGACTCTCCGTTAAAGAAAATTTGGAGCCGTTCACCAAACGAACGTCCAATCAGCGTTGGCTTTGAGGCGGGTTGAGGTGTGACGCAACGAGAAGCGCGACAGTTCAGTCTAAAGAACATGGCGGCTTCAGCCGATGAAACTAGCGTTAGCGTGGCTATCGAGCAAGTTTTATCGGAATTAAAGAGTATTTCTTCACTGAAAGAAGAGCAAAACACTGCTCTGGAGTTTGATCTATCAATTGGCTCCTCTTTGTCGTCGCTCTGTTAGTACGTCATATGCTTCATTGATCTGATTGGTTTATTTGGCCCGTCTATCACCAACATAGGCCAATCAGCTAACCAGTATTTTCGCCCCTTCCCAAAATTACTTCAACGGAAGGTTTCCAGATGGATATGCGGAGCAAATCCATCTGGCGGAGTCAGGTTAGGGACTCAGGTTTCAGCTTTCAAAAACCTACAATGCAGCAAATGAGTTGAATTCTTCCCGCTATCATCGCAGCCCCCACCCCTTTTCAGGAGAACAGAAGACCTCACCTCTTGGGCCAGGCCAACAATTCCCTCTAACAATCCCCCTTTCAGAGATATAGACCAGTATGGGATATTACAAGCTAACGAAGAACCGAAACGACTGCCCATTGTTAAGGAGCGGACTCATTCTTCCTGTTCAATTTGCATGTTTTCTAAGCCAAAACAAGGCTTTGTTTCGGTCCACTCTATAAAACCTGGAACTCAACGCCATTTCTGACATTTTGACATGAAAAAACTTCCTGGATGGAAGAGAAACGTCTTCAAACTTGGAAACTAAGTCCAGTTGATGATTGTTTTTTAACTTTCATGTAATAAACTGGTTATATATTTTTAGAAATGTTGGGTATTCATTTCATACTCATAGTTTTTGCCCATTTCGGCTACTGCATTTGCATCACTTTTTGCCAAATATTAAACGCCTGCAGAAAATGGGCGAAATTGCAACACAAGATTAAGCCTGTCTTTAATTTATTTAATAAATAAGAGGATTGATTTTTCTAATTTTAGAAGTTTAGGAGTTTTCTAAAAGTTAAAAACATGGATCACTTCTTAATTGTTCAATCTTTCCGTGTTATTTGGAGCTTTTCCATTAAAGAAAAGTAAAAAAACAAGGCAAATAAATCCTAAAGAACGAATTTTTAGTTGTAATCTTTAGTGCCCGACTGTTTCACAAGGATTTATATTTATTAAAGTTTCATCTGAAAAAAGAAAGGAATGTAAGGGGATTGTAAAGAAAACCTCTGAAGGATCCCAGCCTTTTGGAACCATCAGAAAGGATGAAGTTGAACCCAGTCTGTTAATTAGGACAAAATTTATGAAAAACAACTTGTGAAACCTGACCGACACCAAATGAGGCATGCATAAGGTCGTGTCAGGTCTTCAGTGGCTTTAATGGCTACTCTAGCACATGACTCCCAGAGACCGCCTCTCTGTTGTAGGTCGCGGTGAACGCTATATGTCATGCTTCTGTTTTTAGCTCAATTTTAGGTTTGTAAAACCAGGGGGAAAAAAAGTTTCTCTGATCTTTGAGCAGAAACTGGGACTAAAAACAAACCATCCCCGCTGATTCTGTGCAACTGAGCCGGATTAATCTGCTGGTAACCGAAACAATTGACAAATTTAATTATATTTATTTAGTTTGAACTCAACAGTGCCCCCTACAGAATATATATATAAAACAAAGACAATAACAGAATGACAGAAGATAAAATTATCAAACAGAAATGCCTGGTTGTGTTAATCTACAATAGGGATACAATGGGGCTGATTAATTAGAAACGGGTCATTATAACTGATGAGTCTGACCCCGCCCTTATGCTACGTTCAGTCCGCAAGCAGCAGAAGCAGCTAGTTTAGATGCAAAGTCAATGGTTGGTGCAGCAAAAGGTCCCGCAGCACGTTTTGAGCAGCAGGAGAGCAGGATGCGCCGCATCAACCAATCAGGGAAGCTGATCTAGGAGGTGGCAGGGAGTCAGACACCGCACTGCTGATGCAGAGCGCTATGATCACTCCTCTGAAACAGAGGAAAAACAACTTGAGTTCATCAACGCCTGTTACGTTCATATATCTTTCCCTGGCCAGATGGATCTTTTCAAAACAACAGTCCTTCCCTTCATGCCGTGAACTTATTCTTATCTTTAAAGACCTTCGTTTGGAGCCCATGAGGCTAAGAACAGACATATCTCAAATTTTTTTATGCTACAGGTTTCACACATATTAACATTGTACCTGGAAGGACTGAGTTTCTTCCTTGTTGTGAGGTTTGCACTTTTCTGCTGAGAGCAAGTAAGAAATATTACTGGGTTTGTTAATTTTCTTCAGATGATCAGAAGGGAAATAGTGAAATAAGCAGAGGTGGAAAAAGTACTAAAATATCATACTCAAGTAAAAGTACCAATACTTGGATGAAATATTACTCAAGTACAAGTAAAATTACCCATCAGAAAAATTACTCAAGTAAAAGTAATAAGTAGCTAATTTAAAATGTATTTTAAGTAAAAGTTACTTAGTTACATTTGAAAAAACAAACAGTTGAACGGGGCAGGGGATCTCTCCCAAAACATGCTTCCGCAGATTAGATGTGGAATTTAAATGAAAAGCAGTCTTTTCGTCGTTTTGGGCAGCAGAATTCGATGTTTCAGCTAGCATTGCTAGTGAAACGTTCTCTGAAGCGTCGTCGCTCTCCTGATCCACCTCCATCTCGTTCCCGATCTCCTACAGAAAGACTTGGCGCCTGGTAGCCTAGATCTACATGCTGATCACGTCACTCGCTGTAGTGCTACCGGGGCCCGATTTTTTGTCTTCCTTTCGGTTTTCCAAAGTTTTTTTTTTACTCAGTAACGGATGGGATTTGTAATGTAACGAAATACAATACTTCACTCAAAACGTAAACAAGTAAAATTTAAATTACCGGTTTTAAAAACTACAAAACACACAAAAAACCTACTCAATACACTAACTTGAGTAAATGTATTTCGTGACTTTCCACCTCTGGAAATAATTGATACACTGGAAAAACGATCTATAAATAAGTAAATATTTCTCAGATTATGTGTATTTACCCTTTTTTTGAGCAGGTAAATGAGATGATTTGCCAATGGAATTAGTATATTTACTCTTAAAATAAGATATTTAGATAAAATGCACTTGAAATAAGACAATGCAATTGCGTTTTCTTATTTTAAATGTAAATTGTCTTGTTCCATTGGCAAAATGTCTCTTTTAGCTCCTAAATTCAAGAACAAATGCACTTATTTTAAGAAAAAATGACTCATCTAGGTTTTGATTTTTTGATTTTTTCCAGTGTATAAGGTTAGCCTGAAAGATGAGGTCTCACTACCTGATTGGATTACAAGTTTAAGGAAGGAAAGACAATTGATCGCTTTTTTATACAAAGAAAAACAAAAAAAATCCAAAGCAGAACTAAGAGTCAATTTTCATTCTGAGCACAGTTTGGGTAACCACATCAGATGTTTATCTAAAACCTGCTTCTGTAAAAAGAGGAAGTCCAATCTTTTGCTTTTATGCGACTATAGCAGGGGTCACAGAAGTTACAGGTTGCTCTTTGGATTGAAAGGGTCTCACAGTCCTGCACCACGTCGCGCTTATCAGTCATTTTGTTTATTAAGTTTTCTCTTACCTGCTTTCCTCACTGCAGTACCTGATAAAGGTGAACGATATCAAGCAGAAGAAAGGCGTCGACTTCCTCCAGAACCTCATCAAGTACTTCCATGCTCAGTGCAAGTAAGATTCAGGAAGAAGAAAATGGCAAAATTTGCAATAAAAAAAAAAAGTAGCACATGTTTTGTTTATGATTATTCACTTGCTTTTAATGCAGTTTTTTTCAGGACGGGCTTAAAACTGTAGAGAATCTGAAACCAGCTGTGGAGAAAATGGCTACAGACCTGGCGGGGGTGAGGAATCACCGTTTTAGGTATTTCCCCTGTTTTTTTTTTACACTAAATGTGACCTAAAACTGTTTATTTCTGTCCAGATCAAACAGACGCAGGACGGAGAGAGGAAGCAGTTGATTCAGCTCAGAGATACCCTGAAAGCATCGCTGCAGACGGACCAGAAAGAGGTGAAAAGCTTCTTTATCATGACAGTAATCTAGTTTTTCCCCAAAAACAAAGTAAAGCAGAGAGGAAGGAAATTACTGCCACAGATGAGCCCTTACAACAGAAAAGAGGTCACTGCAGTTCCTTGGGTTAGAGATGATGCAACATGCCTTTTAAAGAAAAAGTCTAATATTAAGAATTCATGATTCTAATAATAATGATTCTATACTGTTCAATAAATTAAGTGTTTTTAATTAAGAGTAATTTCCATCTGAATGTGCTTTACTGGAGGCATCCATGTTTGTCAAAGAACACTACTGCCACCTACTGGTTAGTGACGTCATGGTGCGGTATCGGCAGGGATTGATTTAGGACATGTGGGGCCCTAGGCAAACACAGTCAGGGGCCCTCTGAACTGAGAAGACAACACATCAAACAGCCCCATTCTGTAGATAGAGAAATGTTAATAGAATAGACATCCATTATCTGTTCTAGGTTGTGTCCCTCTCTTCTTGTTTTCCTCTCTATGTTTTGTACTCAGCTGACTTTTCATGCTGTCTCTAAAGGAATGAAAGATTTTTTCCAAGCACTAAGCTCACTTAGCTGATTGCTCCTTCCTGTGTTTCCAAAAAGGCCAAAGTAAATAACCCAGTCCTTCTTTTCACTGTAGACAAGCCATGATCTGCTTATCTGTTCTCCATTTTTCATTTGGATGAAATAATAGCTGCATGAATCATGACAGCAGACAAGATAGAGGAGAGCAGGAGGCGGGGTTACCAATCTACTCGCTCTGGAGAGCAGAGTTCGCTGCTTTTAGATGTTGTCTCCAAAGTCTCCAGTAGCAGAAAAAAGTCTCTAGATTTGGCGCTAGGAGCTTTTTAGAAATCAAAGTTCTAGAGGGGTCTGAAAAGTGGCTAAATATAGCGACTAAAGCGCTAAGTTGGCAACACTGCTCTTTGCATGGTTTGTTTTCAAATGGTTTGCTGCTGTCTGTTTGGACCTTTCTGAACATGTGCAGCAAATGGACTGATCCAATATGGTGGACACTGAAGGGGGGGCTGAGACACACTTAATATTATCAGCGTTCTGATGGCATTTTAGCGAAAGGGTTTTGATCAAAAACGTAATTAATGTGCACAAATAAGGAATAGTTGTATTAACCATACATGTAAACAGAGTTTTATGGGGCCCCCCGGAACTTGGGGCCCTAGGCAACTACCCAGTTTTTCCCTAATGGTAAATCAGCCCCTGGGTATCGGCTGTTGATCAAGTCCAAGTGCTGTATCTGGTGTTTGTCACAGCGCGCTGCTATCCAAGTCAAGTTCAAAACATCCAACAAGTTGGCGATCCAACGACCAACCCGTCCGTGGAGGATCAGGAATCAGAAAGGTGGAATAACTCTTTTTTTTTTCCACTTTTACCCGATGTATTCCAGCATCCAGCTGCCATGCACGTGGGCATTGTCAGTTTCACTATAGCTCTGGTGAATTTCAATGGTGAAGTCCTCTGGAAATCTTCAATAATTGTTGCTGATTGCAGATGTGTCTAGTAGTTCCCATTGATTTAGCTTGTAAAGCGGGGAGAATGGCGCTAGGCTTACCGCACCGTGACGTCACTGCTGGAAGATGACAGGAGGGAGGGGTTACTATATTTGGACAAAAATGGCCGCTCCCAGACTCGGTGATCGCAATGCTAAATTCATTAAATCACCGCGAACATATTAGTTTTAGGTATAGATAATGATTGATTGATCACTTTTCCTTTAAAAGCATCTGGTAGTGAAGCGGATGTTTGATAAGTTGTGGTTGAATCTCAGGACCTTCAGGCCAAGCAGAACGCAGGATACAACCTCCATCAGCTGCAAGGAAACAAAGCTCACGGCACCGAACGCTCCGGAGTACTTTACAAGAGAAGTGAGGGGTGAGTGAACTCCATGTCCCAGAATGCAACAGCACCGTTCTAGATGGTGGATGAATTTATCTTACCAGAATCCATCTCTTGTAGTTAATTTTTGGAAAAAGAAAACCTGAAACAAATCATTTGGGGATTTTATGTAATGTATAACCAGAGTGTAGGAGTTTTTATCATTTATGGTTTTCAATCTTTTACATTTAAAACTTTGAGGGGGAAAAAAGCAAACTGCTTCAACCAGCAGGGCTCTGAAAGGAAATAAAATAGAAGCAGCGAAATTAATGGCAGCAAATGTTTGGGAAAAAAATAAAGGCAACAGATTAAGTTAGGTCAGCTTGTTCACTAGGAAGAAATAATCTGTCATAGTGTCGTTTAGATTTTTTGTTATTCATGTTCTTAAACCTGAAAACTAAATATATATATATAAACAATGTTGCATGAACCCAAACAGCATGAGTCACATCAGCCTCAAACACAAACAGGGAACATAAATAAAAACATGACCTGAAATGAAGCCTGATCCAACCAATGATTGTCTTTAAGTCAGTTGTGGTTAATTTGGTGATGTTAATAGAGATTATACCATCAAATGATATACTGAGGGTCCATTTAGAAGAACTATCTATGAGAAACTCTGAGTTGTAGCTTTAATATTTGCATTTCTGTCCATATGATATCATCTGTTGTGAAATCCTACATGAAAACACACCCATTACATGATGCTGCCACCACCATACTTCACAGCTGTAGGGTTGAAAAGATTTTCGCAGATTTACAGGGTTATTCTTTTAATCTCCAAATGTAACTATGGCCATTTTTGGCCAAGACTTTAACTGTTTATCTCCAAACATGAAGGCTTTTCTCCATGGAGTCTTTCGTCTTTGTCGCTTTGAAGTAATGGCTTCTTCCTTTCTGGGTGGCATTTCAGCCACCCAGAAATGAAGAACTGCAACTGTTTCAGAAAGAGTTTATGTAAAAATGTATTTGTATAACAAAGTGTTTCAACAAAGTAAAACAAACTAAGTCTGTGGATGACGGTATTTTGGTGCCAAGGTTATTGCTTCAGTTTTATCCTGATTTAGATGGATCAAACTTTTAAATTAAAAGAAAGCTTAAAAAAAAAGTTGAATTTTATACAACTGGATCATCAGCCTATTGTGGATTGGCAATATCCTTAAAAGATGACAGTAATGGGCGAAGCAGGAGTAGAATGTGTTCTGAATCTAGATGCAGAAAGGGAGATTGATCTATCGGACGAGAAGGAGGGCAACCATTTTTTATCCATAACACAGTACTGATCAAGAGCAGCGGTCTGCTGCTCTACGACCACCTTCTCTAGACCCTTGACTCCAAAAAAGGCTTATGCTACGTTCAGACAGCAAGCAGCAGAAGCAGCAAAAATGTGTGTGCTGCTTCATTTTTGATGATTGTATAAGTTTAATTCTGACAAGCAGCTGAAGCATCTTTGCTGCTCTAGCTGCGCAGTCGAAAAGTGGTCTGATGCGCGTTGGGCGGAGCTACGCTATGCTTTCTATGCCTGGAACAATGGCAGCGATTACGACAGAGAATTAGGCCTAGGCGAGAGATTTTTTTTCTTCTAGTTTAAGAATAAAGTCGTAACATTACGAGAATAAAGTCGTAACATTACGAGAATAAAGTCGCAATGAGAATAATTACACACTTACGAGAATAAAGTCGTAACGTTACGAGAATAAAGTCGCAATGAGAATAATTACACACTTACGAGAATAAAGTCGTAACGTTACGAGAATAAAGTCGTAACGTTACGAGAATAAAGTCGTAACGTTACGAGAATAAAGTCGTAACGTTACGAGAATAAAGTCGTAACGTTACGAGAATAAAGTCGCAATGACAATAATCACAAAATTACAACAATAAATTCTTAACATTATGAGAGTAAAGTAATAAAAGTGCGAGAATAAAGTCGTTACATTATGAGAATAAAGTGGCAACATTACGTGAATAAAGTCGTAACATTACGAGAATAAAGTCGCAATGAGAATAATTACAAACTTACGAGAATAAAGTCGTAACATTACGAGAATAAAGTCGTAACATTACGAGAATAAAGTCGCAATGACAATAATCACAAAATTACAACAATAAATTCTTAACATTATGAGAGTAAAGTAATAAAAGTGCGAGAATAAAGTTGTAACATTACGAGAATAAAGTCGTAACATTGCGAGAATAAAGGCGCAATGAGAATAATCACAAAAGTGCGAGAATAAAGTCGTTACATTATGAGAATAAAGTGGCAACATTACGTGAATAAAGTCGTAACATTACGAGAATAAAGTCGCAATGAGAATAATTACAAACTTACGAGAATAAAGTCGTAACATTACGAGAATAAAGTCGTAACATTACGAGAATAAAGTCGCAATGACAATAATCACAAAATTACAACAATAAATTCTTAACATTATGAGAGTAAAGTAATAAAAGTGCGAGAATAAAGTTGTAACATTACGAGAATAAAGTCGTAACATTGCGAGAATAAAGGCGCAATGAGAATAATCACAAAAGTGCGAGAATAAAGTCGTTACATTATGAGAATAAAGTGGCAACATTACGTGAATAAAGTCGTAACATTACGAGAATAAAGTCGCAATGAGAATAATTACAAACTTACGAGAATAAAGTCGTAACATTACGAGAATAAAGTCGTAACATTACGAGAATAAAGTCGCAATGACAATAATCACAAAATTACAACAATAAATTCTTAACATTATGAGAGTAAAGTAATAAAAGTGCGAGAATAAAGTTGTAACATTACGAGAATAAAGTCGTAACATTGCGAGAATAAAGGCGCAATGAGAATAATCACAAAAGTGCGAGAATAAAGTCGTTACATTATGAGAATAAAGTGGCAACATTACGTGAATAAAGTCGTAACATTACGAGAATAAAGTCGCAATGAGAATAATTACAAACTTACGAGAATAAAGTCGTAACATTACGAGAATAAAGTCGTAACATTACGAGAATAAAGTCGTAACATTACGAGAATAAAGTCGCAATGACAATAATCACAAAATTACAACAATAAATTCTTAACATTATGAGAGTAAAGTAATAAAAGTGCGAGAATAAAGTTGTAACATTACGAGAATAAAGTCGTAACATTGCGAGAATAAAGGCGCAATGAGAATAATCACAAAAGTGCGAGAATAAAGTCGTTACATTATGAGAATAAAGTGGCAACATTACGTGAATAAAGTCGTAACATTACGAGAATAAAGTCGCAATGAGAATAATTACAAACTTACGAGAATAAAGTCGTAACATTACGAGAATAAAGTCGTAACATTACGAGAATAAAGTCGTAACATTACGAGAATAAAGTCGCAATGACAATAATCACAAAATTACAACAATAAATTCTTAACATTATGAGAGTAAAGTAATAAAAGTGCGAGAATAAAGTTGTAACATTACGAGAATAAAGTCGTAACATTGCGAGAATAAAGGCGCAATGAGAATAATCACAAAATTACGAGAATAAATTCGTAACATTATGAGAATAAAGTAATAAAATTACAAGAATAAAGTAACAGAATTACGTCTATAAAGTCATAAGATTACATCAATAAAGTCGTAAAATTACGTCAATAAAGTCGTAAAATTACGTCAGTAAAGTCGTAACAATTACAAGAATAAAGTCATAATATTACACGAAAAAACTCACAATGAGAATAGTCATGAAATTACGAGAGTAAAGTCCTAATATTACGAGAAATAAGTTTTAATTTATGAAAACTCCGACAAGAAGCACTTTCTACCCTAAGATGAGGAATGTGGAGCATCATATGAAGTTATACTTTAGCATCGGTTCGACAGATCAGGTAATCTTTTAGCAGCAGCATCAAACTGGGCAGGATGTCAAAGTAGACTCTGGTTGCTGATTGGTGGAGCTGGTTGGCCGTCATCTGCTGGGCGGAGCTCCAAACTTTCTTTTGAAACTGGTTGTTGTATGATGACTTAATTCTCGAAATATTACAACTTTATGCTCGTAATATTACGACTTTATTCTCAAAATAGAATGAGAAAGTCCTGAAAACTGCATCTGTGCTGTCAGTTCATCCAGATTACCATCCCGCCTTCAAATATTACTTCACTTTCGGAGCCACTCGGACCCCCACATACTGGCGGTGCTCTGTCACTGGGAATCCCGTTCAACAGCAGCCTCTGACCTGGTCGCATCTTCAGCGTCAGATTCTCAGAAGCTCATGAAGTGCTGCTCCTGCTGCTCAAAATGCACTGCGGGACCTTTTGATGCACTTTTATGCACCAACCATTAACTTTGCATGTAAACTGGTTCCTTCTGCTGCTTGCGGAACTGAACGTAACATAAGAAAAAAGTTCAGGAACTGTTTTGTGTAAAATCATTTCCTGCTGCCTGGGTCAATAATGCTGCGTTCACACCGGGCGCAGCTGGCCCGACAGAAGCAGCGAGTTTACATGCAAAGTCAATGGTTGACGCGCGTCAAGGCGCAGCAAAAGGTCCCGCGGCGCGTTTTGAGCAGCAGGCGCAGCGCGTCTGAGCAGCTGAAGTAGCGCGTCGGGCGCGTTTAAGCATCTGACGCGCGTGAGGCGCCGCAAACGCGTTGCTGCTCAAGATGGAAAATTTTAATTTTTGCTGCTCGACGCGCCGCGTCAACCAATCAGAGAAGCTGATCTGGGGGCTGGCAGCGAGAGAGCAGCGAGATCGCTCCTCTTAAACAGTTTATTAACGCATAATTAACTTAAAATGCAACATTGGGAGGCAGGATTGTAATCTGAATGAACTGACTGCACTGATTACGTTTTCAGGTGTATTTTCTCACTTAAAAACATATTAAAACTACTTTATTCCCACTGATCACAGCAAATATAGCTGCAAGGCAGAGAAAGGATAGAGTAGCTCCGCCCAATGCGCGTCAGACACACTTTTGCACCGCGCAGCCAGAGCAGCTAAGCTGCTTCAGCTGCACGTCAGAACTAACTGGTACAAGCAGCAAAAAGGAAGCAGCAGACGCGATTTTGCTGCTTTTGCTGCGTCCGGTCTGAACGTAGCATAAGTCTTTAGCTCTTGGATTTGTGGCTCACATTGAGTCCTGAAGGTTTCCTTTTGTCTCTTCAGGTTGAGGAAGGTGTGGCAGAAGAGAAAGTGTTCGGTTAAGAATGGCTTCCTAACCATCTGCCACGGCACGGTAAGACAAAGTGTCCTCTCCTCTCATTGGTTGTCCTGCATGACAAGCTCCCGCCCTCCTGCCTGCATGTCCAACCAGAGGTCTCCCCGTGGGTTTATCAACTTCATCCGCTGGGGAAAAAAAGAAATAGATGATTTTTAGTTTGGCCTCATATTTATTATTCCTTTTCCGTCTTCCTTCTTTTATTTTTAAAGTTTTTACATGGAGATTCAAGGGGCCAATCAGGACAGAGCAAGCGGAAAAGGAGGAGAAAAACAAGGCGAAGAAAAAGCATAACGAAATGGATAAAAGAGAACAGGGTGGGAAAAGGAGTCTGGATTTAAATCCAACATGATTAGAGACGTTTGGGGAGGGGAGGAGATGAATTCACAAAACCTCACTTTATTCAGTGTTTTACAGTTTTAATAAAGGAAAGGCTGATCAAACACAACTTTAAAGGTGTACAGCATTTACTTTTATAATATACCAATTCAACAGAACAACAAGCTGATAAATATGGTTTTCATTCAAATTCCTGTAACTGTGTTTAACATCCTCAAAGGGTTTAAGGGTGAAATATTTCATGTTTGGATACATTGACGTTAGCAGCTTTAGCAAAAATACACGTTTCTACTAATTTAGATACGACTTCAAATTCCAGAGGAGAAAAAAGCAGTTGGACCTTTTAGTGCCAGCAGCTTTAGTAGTAGTAACAGTCATCCATCCATCCATCCATCCATCCATCCATAAATAATCCATCCATCCATTATCCATCCATCCATCATCCATCCATCCATCCATCCACCCATCCATCCATCATCCATCCATCCACCCATCCATCCACCCATCATCCATCCATAAATCATCCATCCATCCATCCATCCATCCATCATCCATCCACCCATCCATCCATCATCCATCCATCCATCCATCCACCCATCCATCCACCCATCCATCCACCCATCATCCATCCATAAATCATCCATCCATCCATCCATCCATCCATCAATCATCCATCCATAAATAATCCATCCACCCATCCTCTACTCATCCATCCACCCATCATTCATCCATCCATCCATCCACCCATCCTCTACTCATCCATCCACCCATCATTCATCCATCCATCCATCCCCTACTCATCCATCCACCCATCCATCCATCCATCCATCCATCCCCTACTCATCCATCCACCCATCCATCCATCCATCCTCTACTCATCCATTCACCCATCATTCATCCATCCATCCATCCATCCCCTACTCATCCATCCATCCACCCATCCATCCATTCATCCATCCAATCATCCTCTACTCATCTATCCATCCATCATCCATCCATAAATAATCCATCCATCCATCAATCATCCATCCATCCATCCCCTACTCATCCATCCATCAATCATCCATCAATCATCCATCCATACATAATCCATCCATCCTCTACCCATCCATCCATCCATCCTCTACCCATCCATCAATAATCCATCCATCCAACCATCCATCCCCTACTCATCCATCCATCCTCTACTGATCTATCCATCCATCAACCATCCATAAATCATCCATCCATCCATCCCTCCATCCATCCATAAATAATCCATCCATCCATCCATACATCCATCCATACATCCCCTACTCATCCATCCATCAATCATCCATCAATCATCCATCCATAAATTATCTATCCATCCTCTACCCATCCATCCATCCATCCATCCTCTACCCATCCATCAATAATCCATCCATCCAACCATCCATCCCCTACTCATCCATCCATCCTCTACTGATCTATCCATCCATCAACCATCCATAAATCATCCATCCATCCATCCATCCATACATCCATCCATCCATCCCCTACTCATCCATCCATAAATAATCCATCCATCCTCTACCCATCCATCCATCCATCATCTACTCATCCATCCATAATAATCCCTCCATCCATCCATCCATCCATCCATCCATCCTCTACCCATCCATCAATCCATCAATAATCCATCCATCCAACCATCCATCCCCTACTCATCCATCCATCCTCTACTGATCTATCCATCCATCAACCATCCATAAATCATCCATCCATCCATCCATCCATCCATCCTTCCTCCACTAATCCATCCATCCATCCATCCTTCCTCCACTCATCCATCCATCCTCTACTCATCCATCCATCAATCATCCATCCTCTACTCATCCATCCATCAATCATCCATCCTCTACTCATCCATCCATCAATCATCCATCCATCCTCTACCCATCCATCCATCCATCCATCCATCCATCCATCCATCCATCCATCCATCCTTCCTCCACTCATCCATCCATCCATCCTTCCTCCACTCATCCATCCATCAATCATCCATCCTCTACTCATCCATCCATCAATCATCCATCCATCCTCAATTTTTCCAGCTTCCATATATTATCACTGTAGAAATATTGTTCATAACTTTATTTTTCAGTTTAATATTTGCTCTATGAAACAAGTCTGAAAACTCAAAATTCAGATTTTGTAAATGTGTGGATATATGAGTAAAAAACATGTAGGAACCTTTAACGCTAACAATGAGAAGCTAGCAGGCTAATGCTGAGCTTGCTAAGGTTATTTTTTTATTAGCATGCTAGCTCCTCTTTCATTCTCATACATCAGAAGCAGCTGTTCATAACGTATTCAAAATATTTCACATTGATGACAGATTTTCCAGATAAATCTCACCATCTAGTTTTCATGCTAACAAGCTAGTTTATGTTTTCAGCTAAAGAAGAATGAAAAAGTTTCCTTCAGGTTAAGATTTAAATGACTGGTTTGGTTGTTATTAACAGGTTAAGGTTCAAACAAGATGAAAAAGATGATGGTTCTTCATATTTCATCCTGAAGAGAGTGGAGCAGAACTCTCTGGACTTTCAGAACCCATCATGTTATGATGTGAAATAAAACTAAAAGTCCCTTAATATGGGTCACAGATCTGTTCTATCAACACCTTCATTAAACTTTGAGTCCACCCTAATCGGTGCAACATAAAAATGAAATTTAAACGTGTAAAACAAATTCTATTATTCTAGTAAAAAAAAAAAAAAATATGTATATATATATATATATAAATGAATATTCTTGGTTTGTGATGTTTTTATATCTTTAAACTCATAAATAACCTTCATCGTTTTCAGTTTAAGTGTTTCGTTTACAGTCTGTACAGGATCTAAAGACCCCATGCTTGTTGATCCCTGAACCCAAATGGGGTCACGACCCCCACTTTGGGAATTAATGCAGGGGTTCCCAAAAATGTCAGACTGTGACCCCAAAAATATTAACTCAACATCCTGGCAATCCCCTAGAATACATATTCACTAATTAAGCTGTATTTATTTAATGGGATATTTTTGAAATTGAATGTTCTATTTAATGTTGTAATCATATTTTAGACACAGAAGTAAATGTTACATCTACTTATTTCATGGGACATTCATATTTCATGAAATATTTTGCTCCTCATATACCTCAGAGATCATACAGCCAAATTGATTCAAAGTTTTCCATCTAAGGAAAACCAGTTGATTGCATCGACTCATTGACTGGAAGGCAATCCCTCACACTAAGCATGTTTGTAGCGACAGTGGAGAGGAAAAACTCCCTTTTAACAGGAAGAAACCGGCCATCTGCTGAGGCCGACTGGGGTTCAAGGAGACAGAAGCAGACATAGAAAAAGAAGCATAGATACAAAAGCCAGTCATTCATTGTCACACATATATATATATATATATATATATATATATATATATATATATATATATATATATATATATATATATATATGCTATTTCTAATTAAATTCTTCTAAAAGTGATAAAATAACTCATCAAGTTGAGGTTGGCCGGTTCCTTTTCATGTCTTCGTCTCATCCGTCTGTCTGCTTGTTTTAAAGCCCAACAAACCTCCAGCCAAACTCAACCTGCTCACCTGCCAGGTGAAGAGGAATCCCGACGAGAAGAAGAGCTTCGACCTGTTTTCACGTACGCCGCAGACTCGTCCCTTTGCACACGTCCCCTCATCACCTTCCCCGTGTTTTCCTCTGAAAGCTCCGTTTCTTCCTCTCTTCCAGATGACAGAACCTACCACTTCCAGGCCGAGGATGAGGCGGACTGTCAGGTGTAAGTTCTGGCGTCCGGAGCCTTGGTCGGCGGCGCGGCGCGTCTGTTCGTTCTGACTGAGATCTGTTTGTTTTTCAGCTGGGTGTCGGTGCTGCAGAACAGCAAGGAGGAGGCTCTGAACATGGCCTTCAAAGGCGATCAGAACGAAGGGGAGAACAACATCGTGCAGGAGCTGACCAAAGCTATCGTCGCAGAGGTGAAGAGGATAAGCGGCAACAACGGCTGCTGCGACTGCGGCGCCCCCAGTGAGTCCTCGTACCTCCAAAAAATATGGTGCTTAAAAATAATAAATAAATAAAAACAAACAGCTGGCCTGACAGTCATGGGCAGTGCTAGACGGGGGCCGACGGGTGCCGGTGCCCCTGTAGATCATGTCCTGACCCCTGTTATGGCCCCTATACTAAAGACATAATACTCAATGAAATTGTAATGATGATATGCGCTGGAACAGACATGGTTATTGATAGGTCCGTTGGATCTATTTCATTTTTTTTCCTTTAAAAATTCTCTTTTACTAATTATTTAAAAACAGTAAGGTGATAGCTACAGTGGGATTAAGATAGGATCCCAGTTTCATCTGCTAAATGTTTTTTTCAAAACAAATAAAAGAAAAAATACTCTGTTTGTGGCTGAATTTTTCATTTTTTTTTTTTTTATTCTAATTCAGATTTTATAGAAAACGGTCATTTTAACTTAAACCAACTCAAAAATATGAATGTACACTCACCGGCCACTTTATTAGGTGCCCCATGCTAGTAACGGGTTGGACCCCCTTTTGCCTTCAGAACTGCCTCAATTCTTGGTGGCATAGATTCAACAAGGTGCTGGAAGCATTTCTCAGGGAGTTTGGTCCATATTAACATGATGGCATCACACAGTTGCCGCAGATTTGTCGGCTGCACATCCATGATGCGAATCTCCCGTTCCACCACATCCCAAAGATGCTCTAGTGGATTGAGATCTGGTGACTGTGGAGGCCATTTGAGTACAGTGAACTCATTGTCATGTTCAAGAAACCAGTCTGAGATGATTCCAGCTTTATGACATGGCGCATTATCCTGCTGAAAGTAGCCATCAGAAGTTGGGTACATTGTGGTCATAAAGGGATGGACATGGTCAGCAACAATACTCAGGAAGGCTGTGGCGTTGCAACGATGCTCAATTGGTACCAAGGGGCCCAAAGAGTGCCGAGAAAATATTCCCCACACCATGACACCACCACCACCAGCCTGAACCGTTGATACAAGGCAGGATGGATCCATGCTTTCATGTTGTAGACGCCAAATTCTGACCCTACCATCCGAATGTCGCAGCAGAAATCGAGACTCATCAGACCAGGCAACGTTTTTCCAATCTTCTATTGTCCAATTTCCATGAGCTTGTGCAAATTGTAGCCTCAGTTTCCTGTTCTTAGCTGAAAGGAGTGGCACCCGGTGTGGTCTGCTGCTGCTGTAGCCCATCTGCCTCAAAGTTCGACGTACTGTGCGTTCAGAGATGCTCTTCTGCCCACCTTGGTTGTAACGGGTGGTTATTTGAGTCACTGTTGCCCTTCTATCAGCTCGAACCAGTCTGGCCATTCTCCTCTGACCTCTGGCATCAACAAGGCATTTCCACCCACAGAACTGCGGCTCACTGGATGTTTTTTCTTTTTTGGACCATTCTCTGTAAACCCTAGAGATGGTTGTGCGTGAAAATCCCAGTAGATCAGCAGTTTCTGAAATACTCAGACCAGCCCTTCTGGCACCAACAATCATGCCACGTTCAAAGTCACTCAAATCACCTTTCTTCCCCATACTGATGCTCGCTTTGAACTGCAGGAGATTGTCTTGACCATGTCTACATGCCTAAATGCACTGAGTTGCCCCTATGTGATTGGCTGCTTAGAAATTAAGTGTTAACGAGCAGTTGGACTGGTGTACCTAATAAAGTGGCCGGTGATATTGACTTAATAAGAAATAGAATTTTAATTAAACATAACTAAATAGAAATTTCACACAGCTATCTTGAATATATCTCAATATATTTGAATCCCTTGCTCTGTTTTTTATTTCATGCTTTTCTGTGCCCCGATGAAAACCCGCTGGCCCCCTTCTGGCCCCCTGGAACATTTGGTCTAGAACCGCCACTGCTGACAGTCAACCCTGAAGAGCTACGCAGCCGTTTTCTAAAACTGTTCTTCCTTCTGAGAAATCAGGAGTTATTAGGAAGCAGATCCATTATTCAACGGTTTCTGCTTAAAGGGAAACTACCAAGTCGACTGAAACTCTGATGTAAAATCTGATTATAGTTCATTCCTCAGCTGTTTGCTGTGGTTGTCTGACAAGTTTCTGTTAAAAAAAACAAATAAAAACCGAAAGCAACCTTCTGCTGCCGGAATAGGAACAGGAATCTTAACAATCTGCAGCGGTTGTTGAATCAGACAAGATTTTTGTATTAAAAACATCCTGAAATCATAATTTATTATAATGGTGACTGACAGGACGCCCTGAAAAGAAATTATCTAAAAATAAGTAAACATATCTTGAAATGAGTAGATTTACCAGTGAAATAAGTATTTATGCCCTTTAAAACAAGAAAATTTGGTATTATAAACTAAAAACAAGATAAGTATTTTTTATTGAAAACACAAATAACTTTTATTATTGGCAACGTGTCTCACTTATCTGCACTTTTTTGTTTAGATAAATCATTTCTTGTTATTTTTATATTTTTTTTTATTGAACTTTATGGTTCTCACACTGGATAAATGTACCTCTGCATTTAACCCGTCCCCTCGGGGAGCAGTGGGCTGCCATTGTGCGGCACCTGCAGAGCCATTTGGAGTTTAGGGTTGTTAAAGGCTGTGTCTGCACCTTGGAGCTCTATCTCTCCGGTTCTTTTTCCTAAAAAGAGATCACTCAGGACAAACTCTTTAAATAACATTTCGACATGACAACAGATTTTTATATAAATTATAATCTTACTCAGATCAGAGAAGTTGCTTAGAGTTACAGAAGGCAGCTGCTCTCTCAGGAAGCGGCCCCGATTAACAGTTAAATATTTTATACATCTCCAGTCGGCCTCATCATCACATTTTACATCAAACACGTTACACAGCAAAAAATGGAAATCTAAATGAGTCATTTTTGCTTAAATTAAGTGCATTTTTTCTTGAATTGAGGAGGTAAATGACTTACTTTGCCAATGGAACTAGACAATTTACATTTAAAATAAGAAAAAAAAAATGCTTTGTCTTATTTCAAGTGCATATTATCTAATTATCTTATTTTAGGAGTAAAAATACTCCTTCCATTGGCAAAGTATCCTATTTATCTGCTAAAATTAAGGGTAAATACACTCAATTTAAAATTTGTTTTTACTTATTTCTAGATGTTTTTTGCAGTGAGATGAGGAGGCACACTACAAAAACAATCTAGAAATAAGTGAAAATGTCTGAAATTAAGTGTATTTACTCTTAACTTGAGTAGGTAAATGAGATAGTTTGCCAATAGAATTGGTATTTTTACTCTTAAAATAAGATAATTGGATAATATGCACTTGAAATAAGACAATGCAATTGTGTTTTCTTATTTTAAGTGTAAATTGTCTTGTTCCATTGGCAAAATGTCTCTTTTATCTCCTCAATCCAAGAACAAATGCCCTTATTTTAAGAAAAAATGACTTATCTAGATTTTGATTTTTTCCAGTGCATCCATGCACTGCAAAAACCATCTAGAATTAAGTTAAAAAATTCTTAAATTGAGTGTATTTACCCTTAATTTTAGCAGATAAATAAGATGATTTGCCAATGGAACTAGTATTTTTACTCCTAAAACAAGATAATTAGATAATATGCACTCGAAATAAGACAAAGCAATTGTGTTTTCTTATTTTAAGTGTAAATTGTCTCGTTCCATTGGCAAATTATCTCAATTGCCTCCTCAATTCAAGAAAAAATGCACTTAATTTAAGCAAAAATGACTCATTTAGATTTCCATTTTATGCAGTGTGGCTCCAGCCTTATCAAAATATTGCACTATGTTCTTAGCTGAAGATTATAACTGTATATCCGGACAGAGGAACTGTCCGAATTAGATAAACTATTGTGGAAAGCATCAGTTCTGACGCGCAATAGGCAGCTAATATTAAGGTGTAATAAACTCACACATCATCAATGATAATTATCCTAACACCTTCTTGCTCAGGGACCCAGAGTGGAGGCTGTGGGGATCGAAATGGGTACTTGCAACCTTCTCAGAGAACATTTGCTGGCCTTTGCTCTTCTAAAGCCAGGCGTACACTGCTAACCTGACTCCGCCAGATGGATTTGCTCCGCATATCCATCTGGAAACCTTCCGTTGAAGTAATTTTGGGAAGGGGCAGAAATACTGGTTAGCTGATTGGCCTATGTTGGTGATAGACGGGCCAAATAAACCAATCAGATCAACGAAGCATATGACGTACTAACAGAGCGACGACGAAGAGGAGCCAATTGATAGATCAAACTCTTGCTGAAACCAGTCGGGAGAAGAGCAAAAACATCTTTACCTCTGAGAAAAGCCTCCAGAGCAGTGTTTTGCTCTTCTGTCAGTGAAGAAATACTCTGTAATTCCGATAGAACTTGCTCAATAGCCACGCTAACGCTAGTTTCATCGGCTGAAGCCGCCATGTTCTTTAGACTGAACTGTCGCGCTTCTCGTTGCGTCACACCTCAACCGGCCTCAAAGCCAACGCTGATTGGACGTTCGTTTGGTGAACGGCTCCAAATTTTCTTTAACGGAGAGTCTCCAGACTGATCTGCGAGTGAAACCTTGAAAGCTCGCGAGATCAGGATGGTCTCACGAGGCTAGTGTACACTGCACCATTTTTTGCCCTTTTTGGGCCGATTTTCCAGTCGTGCAAGAATTTTTTCAACTTTCAGCCTCATCGTGTGTCGTGTAGTACACAGGGGGTGACGGGGGGGCCAATCTGCCTCCCATGACCACTTTCCGATCGGGAATCGTGAGGTTGGGAAAAAATCAAACATGTTTGAAATTCAGTCAGCCGTCGTGAGGAGTTCGTGGGTAAAACCTGCTGTTGAAGCAAAGCTACGACACGATTTACCAGAACCTTGAGCACTGAGCATGTGCAAACAAGGGAGTTCTTCCTCTTCTTCACTCAGATTGACGAGTCCAACCAGCGCCCTCTTTCAGCGCTGAGTCCAATGTGTGGCTTTTAGACGTACAGCGTAAGCAGGTATATCGCATCAGACCATCGGACCGAACAGTGGAAGAACAAACATCGTAAACTGTGAACTTTTAAACCCTGTGGGTTCGTCGTACAGTTTAAGTTGGACGTCTTCAACAGGGGGTCTCCGACCCCTAGGGTGTCCTCAGAGGTACTCCATTGGGGTCCTGACTGCGTCACAAGACACAGTCCAGCATCCCCCTTGCACAAATGATTCATAAGCACACATTAATTTTACAATCATCACTGAATAAACCTGACATTAGACTTTTTTTTTTATATTCTTCCTGCAATTTTATCCACTAATTGAAATGTCTTTAAATCCACATTAACATGAATTCAACACACAGTAGTAAACAGATAAATGGAGGCATAAGATGTCTTTCAGTCATCAATGCAACATTCAGGAGCTCTTTCAAACCTGGGCACCGTTTCATTCACAACACCTGTCCCATCAACCAGGAAGCAGAAATACTTTAATAATCCCTGGGAGGGATTACTTTTATTACATTAATTTTATTACATCTAACCATCAGTTTTACTGCAAAAACAATCTAGAAATAAGTAAAAAAAATTTGTAAATTAAGTGTATTTACCCTTAATTTGAGTAGGTAAATAAGATGATTTGCCAATGAAATTAGTATCTTTAGTCTTAAAATAAGATAATTAGAAAATATGAACTTGAAATAAGACAATGCAATAGTTTTTTCTTATTTTAAATGTAAATTGCCTTGTTCCATTGGCAAAGTGTCTCACTTTCATCCTCAATTCGAGAAAAAACGCACTTATTTTAAGAAAAAAATGACTTACTTAGATTTCCATATTTTTGCAGTGTTGGGGTCCTTGGCCTAGAAAAGGTTAAAGATCCCTGGTTTGAGTTGTACCTGCATGCAATGATTGAAAATATCGCACGGCTTAGGTCATCCGGGAGATTATTAGAGAATTTAACAATTTAAACAATTAAGTCAGATTTTTCTTTTGTTTTATTTATCAACTGGGAGCTTTTATTCACCAAAATAAAAAAGAAATGAATTTCCTGAAGCTGATCCCTTTGTGTGTTATTAATCTATGTAATCTGACTTTGATTTTTGAACTGAAATGGATCTTGCAGCTCAGTCCCTTCATGGAGTAAATCTATCTCAGTGAAACATCTCAGGTTAGATCTTCAGCAGACTTTCTCCTCCTCTTCCTCTCTCCAGGTCCCACTTGGCTCTCCACCAACCTCGGGATCCTGATCTGCATCGAGTGTTCTGGGATCCACCGGGAGATGGGGGTTCATTACTCCAGGATCCAGAGCCTGGAGCTGGATGTTCTGGGGACGTCTGAGCTGCTGGTGAGTCCATCTGAGGACCAGGAGGTTTTTACTTCAGTAGTTTTCTTCATGGGATCTTCTGAGTTCTGCTCAATGCTTTTCCTTCAGGCTGGAGCTGCGTCTCACTCAGTTTCTCCTCCTAAACTTTTTTCAGAGGAATGTTTTCTGTCTTTGCACTCATACCAGGTCATTCGTTTCCATGGTAACTGGTGATGAGACTTAAACATCCCACTCTGCTTTGCAGAATTCATGTAATTCAGACACTTCAGAGACTTTTCTAGCTTGTTTATGATCCCTATAATGTATCTCCCCCACTTAGGTTTGCATTAGGACTTTGACTAGGCCGCTCCAAAACATTGGTTTCTGCCTATGGATCAGGATGGTTTTGCAGAACCTGAATGTGTTTTATTTCAGTTAGAAACTGATTTATTTTATGTTATAGATTAGAGCAGACTTAATGGTTTCATCATCGCAACATGTGATGTCATCCAGGTCCTAGAACAGAAGCTGCTCCTTGGTTTTTACTCGGGTCGAAATCTAGCAGAAATTATAAAGTTAGCTCTATTAAATTTCATCAGGGTTCCAATTGTTATAACTGAAAATTGGGAAACTGACTGAAACCTAAAAATGCTCTCAGAGGAAGATTATCTGAAAATATAGTTTTAACTACATGAAATAACCTGAGATGAATCGTCCCCAACAGGGCCGGATTTAGGAAATGTGGGGCCCTAGGCAAACACAGGCAGAAGGCACCCTGAACTGAGAAGACAACACATAAAATAGACCCATCATAGACATAGAGAAATGTTAATAGAATAGACATCCATTATCTGTTCTAGGTTGTGTCCCTCTCTTCTTGTCCCTTTTCTTCTTGTTTTCCTCTCTATGTTTTGTACTCAGCTGACTTTTCATGCTGTCTCTAAAGGAATGAAAGATTTTTTTCCAAGCACTAAGCTCACTTAGCTGATTGCTCCTTCCTGTGTTTCCAAAAAGGCCAAAGTAAATAACCCAGGAAGACACGCTTAATACTATAAGCCTTCTGATGGCATTTTTTTATTTTTGAGTTTTTACGGGACTAGTGGCTCGTTTTTTCAACAGTAGGCTGACAAGAAGGAGGTATGAGGCGGGGGGGGGAGACATGCGGCAAACGACCACAGGTTGGATTCAAGCCAGGGTCGGCCACGTCGAGGACTAAGGCCTCCATACATGGATCGTTAGCGCTAACCACTGCGCCACCTGCACGCCCCTGATGGCATTTTAATCAAGGATAGGGAAATCATATTTAAATGTCAAATCATTCTGGTTTGAACATGTATATAAATGTTCTCTTTATCAGACTATATTGTCCCAAAAGTTAGAAAATTTCTATAAAAAAAAAATCCTGTCCTTAAATCTGTTTTTTTTTTTCATTATCTTCTGCAGGCCAGTTAGTTCTACGTCAGCCTGAACACCTAAATTCAGCCAATCATATATCAACGGTCATCTGTCAATCAAAAGTTTTCTGTCATAACATCTTGATTCATATGTCGCAGCTAATATACGCAACGGCTGAATAAAGAGATAAGAATCCTTTCCTTTCCCATTGAGCTGCGTCCCAGTGTTCACGGGGATGGACGTCTGTGTCTTCGGCAGGCGTAGAGCTAACAGAACTGGCAGCGTTGCGAGGCAAGGGCTCAAACATGTACGGCTGGAAGCCTTCTACACCAAACCAAGCTTCTGCCACCCTGGCGTCCTCTTCCACAACATCTTCGTCCCCGCTTTCCTCCTCTAAATAAAAAATGGATGACGGAGGAGACTCATCCACGACCTCCGACACTAAACTCTCCTCCTCTTGCATGTTTCCGCTGTCCATAGCGTTCCTTGACAGCGTCGTTTCTAAGTCACCAATTTAGTGCTACTTGGTCCAATGGAATTTCCCATTGGGAACCTACTAGCACTAAGATGCTAACTAGTTAGCATCTTAGTGCTACTTGGTCCCAATGAAATTTCCCATTGGGAACCTACTAGCACTAAGTTGCTAACTGGTTAGCAAGATGCTTCCGACAAACCGGCCACAACCAAACATGCTTGCAAACCTTCCCTTGATAAACGACCAGTCACATTCACTTTATTCACTTGTGTAAAGTCGGGCACTCGAGAGAATTCGGAACTTCATCCGTTGGAACAACTGATTCCCTACGACTTTAACTAGACATATAAACAGAGTTTTATTTGGCTGCCAGGAACTTGGGGCCCTAGGCAGCTGTCTAGTATTGCTTAATGGTAAATCCCCAAACTGATCCTAAAGATCAGGACGATGTTTTTCTCAGACATCAGCATCTCTTTGGTCGGATTTCATGATCGACTGACAGCTGTTGGTCTTTATCTGTTTCTTGTCTCTCAGTTGGCGAAGAACGTAGGAAACGCCAACTTTAACGACATCATGGAGGCAGATCTGGAGGGACAGGGTGTAACCAAGCCGGATCCAAAGAGTGACATGTAGGTTCTGATGTTACCCTTCGTCTGTCGTTAAACTGCAGGGTGACATGATTCACCTGTCGTTTGTGGGTCTGTTCCAGGCAAATGAGGAAGGACTACATCACGGCCAAGTACACGGAGAAACGCTTCGCCCTGCGGCTGTGCGCCGACGCTCAGTCCAGGCTGCGGACTCTTTACGAGGCCGTCAGGAACAGAGACATCATGTCACTGATCCAGGTCTACGCTGAGGGGGTGGACCTGATGGAGGCTTTCCCTCAACCCAACGAACACGTACGACCCGACATGTTACACATCCTCTTTATAGGAGCTATTTTTCAATTGTTTGTTAAATCTTAGAATTTATTTTGATATGTTAATTAGAATAGGTTTTTGGTTAGTGATTTAGTTCATTAATTTTAGCTTGGGATGTGGGCGTTTTTACAGTATTGGTAGGTTTTAGGTAGCATATTATGCACATGGGTGGTCATAAGTTTTTTTTTTTACCAGTCTCAGTCGCAGTTTTTAGTCTCATAGCAGAATCCTGTGAAGATTGTAACCTGGTTTGTCTGAACGGAGAATAAATCGAGCATCTTCTAGACTGCGTGAGCCAGAATCCAACCTAAATAAGATCATTTGACTTCTGTTTGTAGAGATATTTTAAAACTGATCCATATTTATTTGATCATCTATATTTTTGTTCTCTCAGTGTAAAAAAAAAAACCCCAAACATTTATATAAGATGTTTTAGAAGAGACCTTAATTGGGGCGACAGTGGCGTCGGGTGTAGGAGTTTACCCTGAAATCGAAGGATTGACGGTTCAAGCCCTGAATTTCAGTGTCGTTGTGTCCTTGGGCAAGACACTTCACCTCCATTGTCTACTGATGGCGGTCAGAGGGCCCGGTGGCGCCAGTGTACAGTAGCCCTGCTTCTATCAGTGAGCCCCAGGGCAGCTGTGGCTACAATGTAGCTTGCCACCATCAGTGTGTGAGTGACTGAATGTACAGGGTTCCCGCGGGTCCTTAAAAAGTCTTAAAAGGTATTGAATTCTTCAAAATAAAACTAAGGCCTTAATTGGTATTAAAATGTCTTAAATCAGTCTTTCGTAGGTCTTAATTTTTAAAACATCATAAATAGGATTGTTTTTATTACGATTTATTTTTGTAATCTAAATAAAACGTTAAAATCGACAAATTTTTTTTATTTTAAAGAAATAACGGCTCGCCATTATTGGTTCCGTCCCGATAGCGGAACCAATAAAGCGTTGTTGCGGCCGGGACATTTGGGAGATGCACCATTAACTTTTTGTCTGGAAAATATGAGCAAGTGTAAATGCAACCAAAATTGTCTCCAGCCAAGAGTTTTCTCCATGGCTAAAACCAGGGAACATACATGAGGCTCAGTGGATTTAGTGCAAGAAGTCATTCAAGCTCAGAACGATGGGAATTAAGGCAGTGGAGTCGCACATGCGAAGCACGAAACACAAAGCGTCAAAATGGAGTTACAGAGAAACAGCCGGTATTTCTGAGTTTAGTTCCACCCTTGTCTCTGCAACGCCTCCACTTATCACCAAATCAAACATACTAAGAAAACCATACAAAGAAAAATAGCTGCAAAAAGACTTAGCGCTGGTTATGTTGTGGCTTTAAAACTGATTAGTTTTGTTCCCTGCTAAAACAAAGTTTGTGAATTCAGTTAAATAATTGTTCAAATATATCTGTCATTTGTGTGTTTTTAGTTTTCTTCCTGTATGGGAAGCTTTTCAAAATTTGAAACATTAGTGCAGTGGTTTATGTTAAAATAAACCTTTGGGTTAAGTTGATGCAAGCAGGTTTTTCTTGTGTTTCTTGTAACTTTGGTCTTAAATTTTTATTTCAAGTGGCATTAAAAAGTCTTAAAAAGTCTTGAATTTAACTTGACTTATGCTGTAGGAACCCTGATGTAGTGTAAAGTACAGGCCATTTATCATTTAAGTTAATTAATAAATTAATTTTTTCATGAAACCATCCCATGTCCGTTTGGACAGAGTTCCGTTATGTTGTACCAGGCACTAATATAAAAATGGCGGCGACCTGCTGCTACGGTACCCTTGGAAAGGAAACTTTTGGAAAGTTCAAAATTTGAAAATTGAATCTCAGGCTACATTTTTGAAACAAGAGCAGAGAATAAAAGTTTATAAATCTTCTTGGGAGCCTTGAACTGCAATGGAGACGGTCTATCATATAGAGAAAGTATGTTGCCACGGTAACATTTCCTAGTTTAGAGGAACAAAATCAAAGAGGGAAAAGATGCATTGGAACAGACATTTTATATTGGGTTCCACCTTTTTTTTCTGCACCACTTTAGCAGCTTTTTGCTATTTTATTTTACTTTTCTTTTGGTATTTAATTAAATTTCTTCTGTAATTTAAATTGTATCTTTGCACCGTTTTTTTGATTTTGTTTCATAAATTATCTTTATTAGATGAGCATCAATATTTTACATTGGCCAGAAGGTTTCCACAAATTCTCTGGTTGTTGCATAAGTTAATATTTGGTCAAAATGTCCTTTATGACATATTCAGTATTTGTTTATTTTATGTTCTTGTTTTTCATGTTTTTTTTTTTTGTGGATCTCATTAGGTGTCTGACCCTCTCCCTGCTATGTAACTGGAGTTTGCTTTGATTGTTCTTCTTGCCTGCTGTTTGCTCTGAGTGTAACTTTAATGTTTGCGTCTGTTAGGAAGCCGGAGAGACGGTTCTCCATCTTGCCGTCAGGATGGTGGACAGAAACTCTCTCCACATCGTCGACTTCCTCGCTCAGAACAGGTAACGTCTCTCCGTCTCTGTGATCCCTGTCCATGTCTGAGGTCACCACAGCGCCCCCTGTTGACTCTATCTGTTTAAAAACAATCCACTGGACTTAGTTTCCAAGTTTGAAGATGTTCCTCTTCCCATCCAGGAAGATTTTTCAATTCTAAATGTCAAAAATAGCGTTGAGTTCCAGGCTTTGTACAGTAGCCCAACAAAGCCTTGTTTTTGCTTAGAAAACATGCAAATTGTAATGGATGAACGGGTCCACCCCTTTAGAATGGAGGTTGTTTGGGTTATTTTGTTAGGCTGCAATGCCTAATACATTTCTACGTCTCTGAATGTTGGGTTGTTAAAGAGAATTGTTGGCCTAGCTCGGGGGTCGGCAACCCGCTGCTTTTTAATGTCCCCCTTGCGGCTCCTTGGAGCTTTTTCAAAAATGTATGAAAATCTTTTTTTTTTTTTTTTTTTTATATGGTGTGCATGAGGCCAAACAAAAATGTATTATATTTTCCAATGCTGTAAACATTTGTGTAAATTAATTTAAATAGCCATAGAGGTCAGTGGTCATAACTTGGAAAACAAAGCTGCAGCTGTGGCTCAGACCGTGGATCCTAAAGGGGAAAAAAGGAAGATGGCTGATGAGAAAAGAGGATTCAAAGAAGAATGAAGTGAATAATTTGCTTTCATTATCAATGCAGAAGGATTGCCTGCATTTTTGCTTTGTAATGACCGACCACCAAGTTGGGAGTTAGAGGAAAAAATGCGATTGCAGAACTTCTGGATCAATTAGAGGGGAGCAAAGATAGATTTAAGAAGTAGATTGCATCTCCAAACTCCAATACTGCTGCTAGTTTTGTTGCAAGGATGGAAAAGCGTCTTCAGATACAACAGGTAGCGCTCTGAGGCAGGGATGGGAACTTTCCCCAAATTATAAAAATATAAATCACACCAAGGAACGCTGGTGACGGAGGATGTGGGATTTCTTCCTCATGACTCAATCAACTCCTCCCAACAGAAAACACGTCCACCACAGAAAGATTTCTTTATCGTGTTTCTAGAATTTCATCAATGCAACAAAACCTAAACCACTGTTAGGTTTGTTCAAGGATCACTATAAAATTAATGTGTGCTTATAAAACATTTTTGATAGGGGATGCTCCACTCCTGTCCTGCCTTGTAATTCTGATGGAGCATTCTGTCTTCATGAACTGATCAATTGTTCTGTCAGAACAATACTCTGTTTGTAACCATGTGTCATGTGCTGTTAATAAATGCTCTGCGGAGGAGGTCCAGTGGGAGACTGGGAGTCTGGGGTTCAACTGTCTCTCCTTCCTGCAGGAATTGTATCCATAAATTGTGTATTTCAGTTCTTCTTAAGCAAAAACCTACATTTTATGAACTCGACATTTTGGTGCCGAAACCCGGGACCTCTGCATAAAACACAGAAGGATTTGGTTGCAACAACCACGTGATGAAGAGCGGTGAAGCGGCGCGTGGTGAGAGCGTTTACTGCTCCTCCCTCACCTCATGCTGCCATGTGACATTTTCTCCAGGATAAACATTTAATCATGAATGCTTTTTATATATTTAAGCATACGTAGTCCCTTTCTATAGTGGGCTAATACACTTACAGCCCCTTTTCATACGAAGCATATATAAGACTCTTACATTTTTGCAGCTCCAGACAGATTTATTTTTTGTATTTTTGGTCCAATATGGCTCTTTGAGAAGTTTGGGTTGGCGACCCCTGGCCTGCCTGAATAGGTGTGGTCTCTGTTCCTCTGTAAAGGGGTTGGGGTGATAGCAGGAAAGAATCAACTCTATTGCTGCATTTTAGGTTTTTGAAAGCTGAAACCTGAGTCCTCCCCCTCTGTTTAAGGTTAGTTTTTCTTCTCTGTCTGTTTTTCAGCGGGAATCTGGACAGACAGACGGCCAAAGGCAGCACGGCGCTGCACTACTGCTGCCTGACGGACAACAGCGAGTGTCTGAAGCTGCTGCTGAGGGGCAAAGCCTCCGTCTCCATCAGTAAGATTCAAACGGCTAATATGACACAGGACAGACCTGCTGCTGGTGGGGAACCAGGATTCTGGAGTCATTTTACAAAAAACTAGTTTGGAGAACAAATAAACGCAAACTGAGCAATCAGTTAATTGGAGGCTATTAAGGAGAAGCATCTCTTTGTGTTATCGATGATAATTTTAGACTCGTATGCAGGAAACAGCTTCCGTCCCGGAAGCACGATCCATCCTGCGCATGCGCCAACAGAATAACTTTCTGGTGGCCAATGCTTTGTTTATCTTTCATAAATATTGCATATTCTAAAAACAAAAAAAGCAAAACATTTAAAAGCCTTTGGACCGTTTCTGTGACTGCTCTGAGCATGTCCGATGATGACATCACACAATACAACGGAGAGAATGTAAAACGTATCCGTTTATTCCAGAAAAGTCTTCAATACTTTCTATTCAATGTAGTTTATCATTATTTAATGTTTTAAGTATATAGATACTGGTCTGACAGAACCGCGGTCCTTTTGAAGGTATCTTGCAGAGGGGGCTGCAAAACTGCATCCAGTTTCACCAAAATCATGCATAAATTAACCTGTAAATCTGATGCTTCCTCTCTAAACCATAACATTCATTCTAATGATCTGATTTTTTTATTTTTCTCCACAGCAAACGATGCTGGAGAAACTCCTCTGGACATCGCTAAACGTCTGCGGCACTCCAAGTGTGAAGAGCTGGTAAGATTTTACTGGTTAAATGTTTTATTTCTCTTTCTTTTATCTTCTTCTGTAGCAAAGGCTGACAGAGTTTTCTCAGGATCCCATTATGTCGCCTAAAACACCAAGTTTTTGTCTTCAGGTGATCTGAGGGAATCGAACTTTGAATGCAATAATTTCTGATATTGCTAGTAGCCAAAATGTTTTTATCAGTGGATATATTTCTTTCCTCACACAACGTAAAGAGTCGTGCAGAATAAAACGATTTACAGAAAAAAGAATATAGTGTATTCGTTTTTTTTATACATTTTTTACTGAACCAAAAATATATACAGTATAATATTTACTTCTGGCTATCCCAGATCATCCCAGATCAGGATAGGTTTGAGGAGTGGGAGGGCTCGATGTTAACCATTGTCCGATCTCCCAGAGCAAGTAGTTTTTATTGTTGGGAGATCAATGATCGCAAAAAAAATGTTTTATCACTCAAAATTACTTTAAAATCACCGACATTCGATGAAAACGACCCACAAGAGTTGCCGGCGCCTTTTTTGTTGTTTTGTACACATTCTCGCGTGATTTGAAAAAACAGTAATGATTTTCCTCCAGATGGCGTGATTTTTGACCACCTAGCGGTAATTTTGATGTAGTTACCAAAACGACAAACAAGCTAGAAAGCGCTAACCTGACTCCGCCAGATGGATTTGCTCCGCATATCCATCTGGAAACCTTCCGTTGAAGTAATTTTGGGAAGGGGTGAAAATACTGGTTAGCTGATTGGCCTATGTTGGTGATAGACGGGCCAAATAAACCAATCAGATCAACGAAGCATATGACATACTAACAGAGCGAGGACGAAAACACAACCACAAGCCAGGCTACTCTTGCCGAAACCAGTCGGGAGAAGAGCAAAAACATCTTTTCCTCTGAGAAAAGCCTCCAGAGCAGTGTTTTGCTCTTCTTTCAGTGAAGAAATACTCTGTAATTCCGATAAAACTTGCTCGATAGCCCCGCTAACGCTAGTTTCATTGGCTGAAGCCGCCATGTTCTTTAGACTGAAATGTCGCGCTTCTCGTTGCGTCACACCTCAACCCGCCTCAAAGCCAACGCTGATTGGACTTTGTTTGGTGAACGGCTCCAAGTTGTCTTTAACGGAAAGTAGCCAGGTTGATCTGCGAGTGAATCCTTGAAAGCTTGCGAGATCAGGATGGTCTCACGAGGCTACCCGGCAAGTGCAATGATCGCAAAAAAAATTATTTATTACTCAAAATTACTTTAAAATCACCGACATTCGATGAAAACGACCCAGAAGCGTTGCCGGCACCATTTTTGTTGTTTTGTACACATTCTCGCGTGATTTGAAAAAGCTGCGTGATTTTCCTCCAGATGGCGTGATTTTTGTCCACCTAGCGTTAATTTTGATGTAGTTACCAAAACGACAAATAAGCTAGAAAGCGCTATCATATGGCAGTAGGGTGGCCAGATGTCCGGCTTTAGGGCGGACAGTCCGGATTTTCATTGCACTGTCCGGCGTCCGGCGCTGCACCCAGCCGGACGTGTATTTGTCCTCCTTTACTCCCAGATTCCACATTCTCCGTCAGCGCTCCGCCCCGCTCACGTACGGAGTACTTGTCTGTCATGTAAATCAATGAGAGCTGTTCCACATCCTCCGCTCGTCACCGCCCACGTACGTCTTCTCCGTCCTTCACCGTCCTTCACCGTCAAAATACGGAGCTGAGCTATTTTTTGCTCCCCTCCGGTCCGTCCAGATCAAGACCTGCTATTGCAATCGCACCAAACAGAAAAAAGAATGTAGAGAAGACCCGGTTTGTCAAATTAAATTATAGTAAAAACAGATCGGTATCTAGAAATTAGAGCATAGTTTGTATATATTCCCAAAAACTAAGAGCAATTAATTAAATAATCAGACCAGGAAGAAGTTGTGAGATTCTAGAGTGAATCTCACAACTTTAAAAGAAAATTCTTATTGCAGGAATGGATGAAGAGATGATGAGTTTGGAAGCAGAGAATAAACAGAGTTCATACAAACTATGTATGATCCTAGTTATCCCTGTTACAAAAATCCACAACAGAAAGAAAATATTTGGGCAGAAACTGAACATCTGCTGGATGATGATGGGGATTTTTTTAATATGTCAGATTCAATTAAGCGTTCACAGGTTTTATACAGGAATGAGGAACTCTAATTTAATGCTCTTTTAATGCTATTAGAAATAATTTTAATGCCATCAACAAGTATCATGTACACAAGTTATTAGTTTACATGAAATAAGGAGCTGTAAGCACAGTTCCATGACTCAAGTTTATATATATATATATATATATATATATATATATATATATATATATATATATATATGGATAGATAGAGAACATGGTGAAATCATCTTTACTCTCGACAGGCTGCGGCCATGTCATGAATTCCTCTTTTCCAGCCACTTTTTGCAGTTTGCATCGTCCTATTCTCTAGCTCTTTCTCGAGCTTCTTTTCCAAACAACTGCTTTATGATCAATTGCAGGAGTTCTGTGCAAATTAATCGTGTTAAAAAATTGTCACTTTTTAAACACCACAATGTATTAAATAAATACAAATGCTGGGAACCAATTCTTTTTTACATTTCTTTAATATTTTGTTCTATTCAGCTACACAAGCATCCTCTTTTAGTAATTTATTGATATGCCGCACAATGTCCTCCTTTTTGGTGCTATAGAAATGGCCACCCTATATGGCAGTCTTCTGTACAGTGATGCAGGTCATACATTAAAAAATGTTCATTAAATTTTTTTCTCATAGACATTGGAGAGGTGCATTTAAATGTTATAGAGCTAAACATGTTAGATTGGTGACCTGTTATGTTATTATTATTGTCTTGTTGCTGCATTTATTTTGTCAGGGAAAACTGATCCTGAGTCAGTTAAAAGTCAGGGAATTCTGAAATGATGTCAGACTGTGGAAACCCTGAATAAAATAACTATGTATAATGATTCTCTAGAAAAGTCACATTATATTAATAGTATTATCTTGTATAAACATATCGTGACTCTAAAATAAAAGTTATTCATTTGTCTTGTGATTTATCTTAAGTTTTTAACCTGTCAAGTTTTTTTTTAGATTTTTAACATTACAATTTATATTTTTCCACCACACAACAGTTTAAAGCAAAGTTTAGTTTGAAAAGAATGTGCAGGAAGGATTGACAAAGCATGTTAACACGGTAATGTAGGCTGCATCACGTTTTAGTCCTGTCTACTTTTAAGGCTAGGCTTAAAACTTTCCTTTTTGATAAAGCTTCTAGTTAGAGTGGCTCAGGTTATCCTGAGCTATCTCTATAGTTCTGCTGCTATAGGCTTAGACTGCTGGAGGACATAGGGACCCCTTTTTCATCATTCTGCTTCATCCTATCTCTATTCTCCCACTCTGCAGAATCTGTTAGTTCAATCTCTAACGTTCTGCTCTCTCTTCAAGTTTTCTTTAGATTTTTAACATTACAGTTTATATTTTTCCAAGCACACAACAAAGCAAAGTTTAGTTTGAAAAGAATGTACAGGAAGGATTGAAAAGCATGTTAACACAGTAATGTAGGCTTGAGTTAATTATCTGACGCATGCATATACACACCAGGAACCTGGAAACTTACTGAATTACATGTTTCATTGATATATATACAGCAATGAATATTAGGAACTATATTTATCAAACATTATACTGGGCAAGTAAAAATTGTTTCTGGGCAAATGAAATGTGAAAGTCACTTGCCCAAAGGGCAAGTGGTAAAAATCCCTTGAGTGGCTTCTTCTCAGCACTGCATTTCTCAGATTGAAGCCAAAAACCTTTGTTTTTCATTGATGGATGAAGTTATTTTCATTAAATGGCCAAATAACATTTACTTTTATGTAAATGAGAGAAGAGCTGGTTATTCTTCAAACTAGAGGTCCACCTGTCAGCACCAATTTCCCTTAATGAGTCCTGATCAATGACCCACAATATGAAAGACTCCTAAAAAAAATTTAACATACTGACAGTAAAACAAGTTCTTTAAATCAATTTAAAGAATGCTTTGGTTAGGGGGTATGGAGTGTTGTTGTTATTGTTGAAAGCATAGAAGACATTTTGTAAATAGGTTTTACCATAATGGGACAAAATTTATTCCATATAAATAAGAATGATCTTTTTCTTTCCATATTTCCTTCATTGCAAAATGTTACTTCCTTCACAGAATCTGCAAAACTTTTTTTTATTTTAAAGACAACGTGTGGAAGTCGATTTAAAACAGAGTTTATGCAAATTGATCAGATTGATCAACCTGATAGAAAACTAATATCAGATCTGTCTTTGTCAGTATGGTGAGTTTATCTGCATTGGTTTCGTTTAATCTTGCATTTTTTCTCTTATTCCAGCTGACTGAGGCCCAGACGGGGAAGTTCAACGTCCACGTTCACGTAGAGTATGAGTGGCGGCTTCAAAATGAGGAGCTAGATGAGAGCGAGGACGAGCTGGAGGACAAGGTCGGCCCCTTTGAGGCGATGGCGGCGCATTCCGTCTAAGCTCCGGTTTTTTAAGCCCCTCTCGTGATTTTTAATCTGTGTCGCAGCCCATCCTGAAAACGCCCACATCCCGACGTGACGAGCGTCCGGTGAGCTGCATCGTCCCGGGCAGCGGGCCCATGGCGTCTAACTTTTCGGCGCTGGCCCGCGACGCTGCCTTCATAGCGAGGGACAAGCAGAGGGCTCCGATCCCGAGCATGATTAGCAACGAGACGTACGGCACCATGCTGGACACGGTGCTGCCGCCGCCGGGACCATCCCCACCGGTGCCTCCCAGAGGTCCAAACCGAGGTGTGCTGTGGACGGTTGGTCATCTTTAGGCGCGCATCCTTTGCTTTCACTAACTCGTGGTTCTGTCCGCATGCTGAACCAGGTAAACCCGCTCCAGTAGAATCAGTTGGGAGGCAGCGGTCGTCCTCCGACCCCTCGAACCCCAAGAACCCTGACATGAACACCTCTGTGTACGGTGAGCCCTCTTTGGTTTTTCTAACTCCATCCCTCCTGAAAATTTTTCAAAACTTCTGGGGATAATCTGCGTGTTTCTCTTCTCTCCCAGTCCTCCCAGCAGTCCCTCCTCCACCTCCTCTTTCTTCACATAGGAGATCCGGCAGGTTCGACACGAAGAACGTGTCGGCCAAAAACACGCCCCTGCCTCCTCTGCCGCCCCCACCTGCTGTACGTCCGCCGGTCCCACCGGTACCGTCACTCAGCTCACCGCCCCACTACAAGCCTCAACCTCCAACCCCACCTCTGCCAAACCAGCAGAGCAGTAGACCCCCTCTAGGACCCCCATCGCCCAAGTATGTAGTCGCTTTCTGCTGTTCGCTTTGTGTTTGAACGAGATGGAACTTAATCAACTTGTAGAAGACGCTGATTACGAAAAGTCCTCTTTAAAGAGCAAAATAATTGTACTTGAAGGCACTGGTGAATATTCTCAGTCATCCAGGTCATAGTCACTCCAAAAAAGTAAAAAAAAAACAATCCACTGGACTGAGTTTCCAAGTTTGAAGACGTTTCTCTTCCATCCAGGAAGCTTTTTCAATTAAAAATGTCAGAAATGGCGTTGAGTTCCAGGGTTTATTCAGTAGCCCAACAAAGCCTTGTTTTTGCTTGGAAACACGTAAATAGAAATGGACGAACGGGTCCACCCCTTTGGAATGGGGGTCGTTTGGGTTCTTTTGTTAGCCTGCAATGATCTATACCCGTCTATGTCTCTGAAAGGGGGGTTGTAAGAGGGAATTGTTGGCCTGGCTGAAAAGGCGTGGTCTTCTGTCTTGTCCGTCCTAGCGGGAAAAGACTTTGCGGTACCTCTACACCTAAAGGACATTCTTTTGAGGACCAGAATGTTCACATTTTGGACAAAGAAGCATGAAGGAAGCCATCTATGTTAAGGAAGAAAAAACAATCTTAAACAGGGGGGGGAGGGGACTCAGATTTCAGCGTTCAAAAACTTACAATGCAGCAATAGAGTTGATCTCTTCCCGCTATCAACGCAACCCCAACCCAACAGGGGAACCGAAGACCTCCCCTATTCAGCCAGGCCAACAATTCACTTTAATGACCCCCCATTTCATAGACCTAGACAGGTATGGGGCATTGCAGGCTAACAAAGAAACCAAACGACCCCCATTCCAGATATTCTGGAATATCCTGGTTTACAGATATTCCGTTCCATGTTCGTCCGTTTCAATTTGCATGTTCTCTTGACAACAAACTATGACCTGCTCCTTAAAAACCTGGGATTTGACTTGGAGTTATCCTTTCAAGATTTGAGACCTAACCTTACCTTAGCCTCGTGAGACCATCCTGATCTCGCGAGCTTTCAAGGTTTCACTCGCAGATCAGTCTGGAGACTCTCCGTTAAAGAAAATTTGGAGCCGTTCACCAAACGAACGTCCAATCAGCGTTGGCTTTGAGGCGGGTTGAGGTGTGACGCAACGAGAAGCGCGACAGTTCAGTCTAAAGAACATGGCGGCTTCAGCCGATGAAACTAGCGTTAGCGTGGCTATCGAGCAAGTTTTATCGGAATTACAGAGTATTTGTTCACTGAAAGAAGAGCAAAACACTGCTCTGGAGGCTTTTCTCAGAGGAAAATATGTTTTTGTTCTTCTCCCGACTGGTTTCGGCAAGAGTTTGATCTATCAATTGGCTCCTCTTCGTCGTCGCTCTGTTAGTACGTCATATGCTTCGTTGATCTGATTGGTTTATTTGGCCCGTCTATCACCAACATAGGCCAATCAGCTAACCAGTATTTTCGCCCCTTCCCAAAATTACTTCAACGGAAGGTTTCCAGATGGATATGCAGAGCAAATCCATCTGGCGGAGTCAGGTTAACCTTACCTTGCCCCACAAATACTTGACTTTGACTTTTCATCCAAGACATGAGCCTAGAATTATCTGGATTTTGAGCGAGACAGCAGAGCATGTGAACGGAACAGAGCGCCGCGCAATTCCCGCCCCCCGCTCAGGAGGACGTTCGCTCATTCGCTCCACCTCTCAAATTTGGGCCAGGTCGCTCCGCTCAAAATCCGCTCCTTGTCACCTTAATTTTTTCCTGCCACGCCGGCAAGATCACTCCACGCTCGCTCAAATTTTTAGGTGAAGACATTTTCTGAAATGTTTCCTTCATGTAATGATTCCAGGGCTGTGGGACACGTGGCATTTGATTTAATGATGTATTGTCTTATTTAAATTACTGTTAAATTTTCACTGTTTCCCAGCTGTGAACGTAACGCCTCGCTCCATTCATGTTCCCCCGGGTTTCGTATTTACTTATTAATTTTCGGGAAAAATCATACTTAAATTAAATAAAAGTTTTTTTTTACAAATTTTATAATCCAACTTTTTTAATTCAATTCAGTTTATTTCTATAGCGCCAATTCACATCATGTCATCTCAGGTCACTTTCCAGTTCAACCAGATCATCCAGTCAGATTGATTCAAAGTTTTCTATCTAAGGAAAACCAGCTGATTGCATCGACTCATTGACTCTTCAGCAATCCCTCACACTAAGCATGCTTGTAGCGACAGTGGAGAGGAAAAACTCCCTTTGAACAGGAAGAAACCTCCAGCAGAACCAGACTCAGTGTGAGCGGCCATCTGCTGAGGCCCACTGGGGTTCAAGGAGACAGAAGCAGACATAGAAAAAGAAGCATAGATACAAAAGGCAACTGTCAACCAGCTCCACAGGCGGCTCCGTCCAGGAAACACACAGCCAGGCAGACGAGCTCCGAGCCAGCTCCCATGTCAGAGGATGAAGAGAGCACATCCAGTTAGTCACAGTCAGAGAAACAGGACTACACTGGAAAACAGGCCAAGCTCCAACATCTATAAACAAAGGTGTTGATGGCAGCACCACAGCTGATATTTCTCTCCAGGATGGAGTCACAGCCAAACAGGAACAGACGAGGCAAAATTTTTATTGGCATTGTGAGCGCATTCTCCGGCCGCTCTGCGCTCCACCATATTTCATCCACTCCGCTCCGCCGCTCGCTCCGCTCACATGCTCTGCGAGACTCTCAAGACCAGACTCTGATTTAACCCCAAGAGATTTCCTCTTTGACTCGGACTTGTCCCTTAAAGACTGTAGTTATACGTGTCTCTTGTTTACAGTGTGACATAAATCCAGATACCAATAATAATGTGATAGTGAGACGTCTTCAAGCAAAGTACTGATGAAGCCCAGTAGTTTATATTAGATCAGAACTGATATAATTGTAATGAAATGGAAATACTTGGACTGTTATCACTTTAACGTTATTTCTACTGGTTTCAGGTTAGTGAGGCAGCCTCCTCACCGGCCTTCAGTTAGAACTGCACCCGCAAACACGCCAGGTAACTAAATGCATCTTTGTTTCAGGGGTAATCAACTTTTTACCAACAGGAGAATCCAGATTTTCTTCAAATAAATCACTTAAGTCACACTAGATTTTCCCGTAACTATGGATAATGAATATCTGCACATATTTCTACATCCATGCTGTCTAAATTAAAGGTATAGTCGACGATCTCTTACCTCCTTTTGAGGAAAATCCTTCTCTATACCTTCAATTAATTATGTCTCTGCATGATATTGATTGATTGACTTTATTGATCTCACAGTGGAGAAAATTACTGGTTTACATCGGCTTAAATAGTCAAAGAAGAAAAAATGTGCATGGGATAAATACAGTGTGTCCACATATGACAGCTTTTTTATTATTTTATTTTATTTTTTTTATAGTAGGATCATTATACCAGGTTATTATATTGATGTATACACTAGTGATGTTATGAGACGAGCCGAGGCTTCGAGGCGTGTGTCGAGTAATGGAGGGGGCGTTTCCCCTGAAGCGCGTGTCGAGGCGTGATTCATTTAGAGGCGGGACCAAAATTTATGACATCCGAGGCCTCGCTACCGTGATACCATGTGACCGCTTCGCGAAGTGGTTCGGGAGGCGCAAGAATTTTGACAGGCATCTAAACAGCTTCAGTGTTCAGTCAAGATGTGGGAGTTTGGAGGAGAGATGCTCTTAGCTGGATAGATTCTAAGAATAGATTGGTTGTTTTTCCAACCAATCTAGTTGCTTAAAACTATTTTGCTGAGAATAAACAATGTAAAGATCAAAATTTGAGCAAACCATCGGACAAAGTCAGTGTTAACACGTTACTGTTAATTAGTATTTGCTCCCTGCTATGGTCATCAACATACATTGCAAAAACAATCTAGAAATAAGTGAAAATGTCTTAAATTAAGTGTATTTACTCTTAATTTGAGTAGGTAAATGAGATAGTTTGCCAATAGAATTGGTATTTTTACTCTTAAAATAAGATAATTGGATAATATGCGCTTGAAATAAGACAATGCAATTGTGTTTTCTTGTTTTAAGTGTAAATTGTCTTGTTCCGTTGGCAAAATGTATTTTTTATCTCCTCAATCCAAGAACAAATGCCCTTATTTTAAGAAAAAATCACTTATCTAGATTTAGATTTTTTCCAGTGTAGGAGGCGTCATCTGCAAGAGACAGGCTCTCGCTCTAGAGGTTGATGGTTCAAGACCTGTCTTTGACTTTTGAAAGTTGCGATTAAACGTTTAATTCTTTTGGCTGATGAGACTAATTTGCATTGTTTTGCTCGAGTAAAAATATAGATTGGGTAAATTAGGTCGGTTTTGTCAAAAGATGGGTTGAACATAACTTCCAACCTGATTAAAACCAGAAAAACATGGAAAAACTATCATGTTTGAATAAAAATGACTAACACCTTTAATTTTGCTCATCATTGCCCAATTTGCACAAACACTTTCACTGTCTGCTTGAGTTTATTTCACTAAAATGGCAGAAAAACTGTGAACCTTAAATGATTTTTCTAAGAAATTTTACACTTTAAAAAAAATTAAAAAAGATTTTATTTTACACACCAACCATTAACAATTTCAAGGTAACCTAAAAGGGGAGAAAAGAAAAACAGTTGCAAAAAAAGTAGTTCTGCCGTCCACCAGTAGGTGGTGACATGTTCCCATGAAGCCTCATGAACTGTTAACCTGGGTGCCATTCCGAACTTAGTCCCGCCCACAACGTTTGAGGTCGGGAAGTTCGGTCTGGCATTACTCAATAGTAGCGCGAGTATGCTAGCACAATATCTGGCGGGCCAATCAAATTTACAGGGCGGGCTTTATAGGATGATGGACAGATGATCAACAGTGACGTAATCAACCACGTGACCAAAGCGCGCTTGGGCGACAACAACAATGGCTGCCGCTGGAGAGTTGAGGTGAGTAGATTCTGCTATTAGGTCTGTTCTAGAAGATATCGACAGCAAATTCATTTTAAAAGAGGAACAGAGAAATGCGATCAAGGCTCATTTTCCTATTCTAGGCGTGCAACTGCACACTTTGATTTTTGTTGACAACAACTATGCGTCTCTTAACATGCGTCACGCACTCCGTTGCTCTTATTGGTTGTAGGTCTATCCAAATGAGTGCAGAGGCATTTTTTTTCCTGGTTCGTTCGAAACACGCCCCATAATCACAGCTCTATGGAGCAGCATCAGACTCATTCTGACTAGAATTGAGTAGGACTACGTCAGGCTAGGGAACTGTGGGGATCGTTGAAGCAATTTGGCCAAACGGTTCAATGCCTCATGAGGCTTCATCTCAGCATCACTAGTATATACACATTGATACATGTTTGTCATTGATACACACCTTCTTCCCTTAAAAACCTAAACTAAAACTAGTTCTGAAAAGAGTTTAATTACTGTATTTGTCATCTTTAACATTAGTAAATTAATGTGAATAATTAGCCATTGTATTTTTTTTTTATCAGTTTGATTAATATACCAAAACTTAAAATGATGAATTATTTAGAATGTTCCACTTAAAGGAATAGTACACCCAAAACATGATTAGCCTTCATTTTCTACTCACCCCCATGCTGAACAACACTCTGGAGTACTTTTTTGATATCTCAAATGCATCTGGAGATCTGGGAGGCTTCTTGCTGTCTGCTGACATTCAAATAATGGAGGTCTATGGCGCCCGAGGCAGAAAGGTCCATAAAAGTCCACAAAAAACGTGTCAATATTCCTCCATACTGCTCGTCCAATGTATTCCAAGTGTCCTGAGTGGGTAGCGTCCAGAATTTACTCGAAACAAAGTCATTTAGAATGTTTTTAGAGCATAAACAGTAGTGTATAGGATTTCCTGAAAGCGCGTTCACGACGCTACGGAAGCCGGCAGACCAAACCAGATGAAAGTGCGCATTCAGCGTCTGCTCTGCCGATAATGCAAGCGTAGAAGAAAAAATGTGCTGTTTACCTGTGCAAAGAAAGAAACAACGAAAGAAAAATGTCTGAGGACTTCAGTGTTGAGGAAGAGCATGAGTTCTTTGCCGAGCTGAATGCGCACTTTCATCTGGTTTGGTCTGCCGCGGTTTCCGTATACATTGGACGAGCAGTATGGAGGAATATTGACATGTTTTTTATGGACTTTTATGGACCTTTCTGCCTCGGGCACCATAGACCTCCATTATTTGAATGTCAGCAGACAGCAAGAAGCCTCCCAGATCTCCAGATGCATTTGAGATATCAAAAAAGTACTCCAGAGTGTTGTTCAGCATGGGGGTGAGTAGAAAATGAAGGCTAATCATGTTTTGGGTGTACTATTCCTTTAAGAGAATTTATGCCGCCACCCACTGGGTTAAAGTGGAACTGCCTTTCTAGAGGTGATTAACTTTTTTCCATAAAAGACCATTAAAGGCCTGAACACACTAATTAGAACTTTGCGTCTGATCGTGTGGGACGAGGTCGTGGCGTTAAACTCTCGTTGATGTTTCGGTTTAACAAGGTGTGAAAATGACCTAAATCCATGACCATCTCCTCCCCTGGCCCCCCTTCATGCTCCGCCCCTGCTCATCAGCGACCATCAAGTAAACAAATGACTGTTTAGATATTCATTTGATAGCAAATCTGTTGGGTTTTTTTCTCTCTAGGTTTTAGGTCTCCTGAGGGTCCGGTTCCACCTAAACCCAAACCCAGAACCACCGTCTCTGTGAGTCCTTGCAGCTTTTCTCCAGCTGTTATCAATCTGAATATAATGGAGGTTTGGTACCTGAGGCTGAAGTTTGTCCTTCCTGATGTTTGTGGTTCTATAGAAGCAGAAGCAGCAGAAGGTGAAGGCCATCTATGACTGCTCGGCTGACAATCCAGACGAGCTGACCTTCAAGGAGGGGGAGGTGATCGTGGTGGAGGGGGAGGAGGACAGCGAGTGGTTGGTGAGTTAAAGGAAGCAACACTGGAAACAAACCCACCTTATTTTTTAAGTGATTAATATGCCATTATTGACCCATTTTAAAGGAAAAGTCCAGTCAGAGAGGAATAATCGTGTTCATTAATGAATTTAAAGCAACCATGAAGAATGTAGTGATGGAGACATGCGCTTGTTTTTCCTGAGATGCTCAATGTCTTTTAACATACTGCTCTGATTTTATTATGAAAAATGTAATATGTTGTAAATATGTATGAACTTCCTGTGGTTTGGCTGCTACCTTGGCCAGGTCTCTCTTGAAAAAGAGATTTTGAATATTAATGGGACTTCCTGGTTAAATAAAAAAAAATTCAACCTGAGTAAAAAGCTGAAGTTGATCCTCTTAACTTCTACAAAAGGGTTTTAAACAGTAGGATTTTTACTTCTACTGGAGTAATATACAGTGATGGGAATAATTGAAAGTACCTTGTTTTAGTAACGAGTAATCTAACTAATTACTTTGACTGTAACTATAACGCAGTTACCATTGCAGACACCCCGTTACTGCATGTTACTCAGGTCGCACAATTAACCTTTTTTCATGATAGGACTTGTGCGCGCCTTGTCATGAGAGAGGGGAGGATCAGATTAGCTGATGTATAGTGAGATTCCGTCTGTCAGTTGGGTAGGTGGGTGTTAACGTACAGCACACACAGAGAGATGGAGAGTGAGGAGGACTCCAGCAGCAAAACAGCGTTTTCCTGATGGAAATACTGGTGTTACGTCGAGCTGCGTTTCCCCATCACATACGGTTTCCCCTGGATCTCCGCACAGCGCAGGCGGCACGATTCACCGCGCAAGCAACAGGAAACGCGCATGCTAGCTAAAGGCGTGTAACAGCCGCCCTGTGAACACGCCACAGGGCAACTACGGAGAGCGTGAAGGATCAAAAGTTAGCCTATATTGAGAAAGGAAGAAATCGGGATGGATGATGATGAAGTAACTGCGTTACTTTTTTTTTGTAACAAGTAATCAAAATAACAGATGGCGTTCCCCCCATGTTAAGCAAGGGGAAACTATCTGCTGGGGTTTATAGGCCCATCACATCGCGTTCCCCCCCGATGTCATTTACGTTGAGTTGCAAAAAATGCTAAACTCTCTGCAGGTTCTTGTCTTTGTCGTCCTCTCTATTCAGCTGGCTTTAGAAACACACGGCGAGAAGGTGGGGGCTGGGTGGTGAGGGTTATGGGGGCGAGAAACGCAAGAGTAACGCAATAGTTACTTTTACTAGTAACTAGTTACTTTTATTGTGGAGTAACTCAGTAACTTTTTGGGAGAAGTAACTATAAGGGATGCACGATATTGGGATTTTGGCCGATATCCGATATGCCGATATTTTAAAACTCATGTAGCCGATAACCGATATCGATACCGATGTTAAAGCTGGACAAAAATAAGTATTCATTGAAAATAGCAGTTTTGTTATCCATTTCTGACACTTTGAAAAATAATATACTCAAATATATTTTCATATGCTGATATCAAATTGATTTTTAAAAACGCGGTATCGATCTATTTTACTTTCAAAATCTGGTGAAATTTCATCGTTCTGTTACAAACTCTCGTGAGATTTCGCAAATTCTTGTGAGATTTTGTTAGTAAAATAGATCGATACCGCGTCAATATATCAACATATAAAAATATGGCAACATTTGGTGAATTTTCGGGGGATTTCGTAGCATAACGATGACATATAGCAATATTTCATTAGTAAAAGAGATTGATATGGTGTTTTTAAATGGCAATATATCAGCATATGAAGATATTGGGATATTTTAATGGATCAATATTTTTTCCCTCATCTTTAGAAGTTTTTAAGTCTGTAAAAAAGAAGTTTTTGAGGAAGAAGAAGAAGCAGTATTTATTTATTTATTTTTTTTAGACTTTAGAAACTCAGAAGCTGATCAAATATCGGGTTAAATATCGGTGGGGTGGCCGATGTCCGATATTCAGTTTTAAGGCCGATACCGATAGGGGGCCGATTATATCCTGCATCCCTATTAATTAGTATTTTCTCCCTGCTATGGTCATCAACATACACTGCAAAAACAATCTAGAAATAAGTGAAAATGTCTTAAATTAAGTGTATTTACTCTTAATTTTAGTAGGTAAATGAGATAGTTTGCCAATAGAATTGGTATTTTTACTCTTAAAATAAGATAATTGGTTAATATGCACTTGAAATAAGACAATGTAATTGTGTTTTCTTGTTTTAAATGTAAATTGTCTTGTTCCATTGGCAAAATATCTCTTTTATCTCCTCAATCCAAGAACAAATGCCCTTATTTTAAGAAAAAATGACTTATCTAGATTTAGATTTTTTAAGTCTGTAAAAAATAAGTTTCTGAAGAAGAAGTAGTATGTTTTTTGTTAGACTTTAGAAACTCAGAAGCTGATCCAATATCGGGTTAAATATCGGTGGGGTGGCCGATGTCCGATATTCAGTTTTAAGGCCGATACCGATAGGAGGCCGATTATATCGTGCATCCCTAGTAACTATAATTAATTACTTTTTCAAAGTAATGTGCCCAACACTGGTAATAAACATTAATACCTTCTACGCCTCTGGTATCAGCTCTATTTGCCTGCAGGTTTTTCTTCACTCTATGTTCATAAATTGCTTGTTTTGCGTTTTCTGCTTGATTTTCACTGTGTTTTCACTTCGTCTTTGTTTCAGATCGGTTACATTGAAGGAGAACCGGACAGAAGGGGAGCATTTCCAGTCACCTTTGTTCACTTTATCACCGAGTGACTGATCAGCACTATGGAGAGCTCCCATCCTCCACCAGCAGTCTGACTGGATAAGACCCTAACAGTAACTGGATCACTGATCAAACCCAGAGGCTTATGGTCGGACCTGTGGCGAAATATCCACAACTTCTTAGCTGGTTTAACACAGTGGACTGAAAACTGCAACTGTTTAAACCTTTAAATTATGTTTGTGCCTGAGAAGATTATTTTGAATCAAATTGAGTCCTTTTGAATATATTTTTAGGAAATGTTTGAGTTGTGGAGCTTTAACAAAGAGGGAGACAGGAACACTGTCTAGACATATGTTGCCTGTAAATAGATTTAGAAGCTTTATATATCTGCTGACGCGCAGTATGCAGAGGAAATAACGGGAATCCAAATTAATAGCAATGAGCCGTTGATGCTTATTGGAGCAAAACGTCCGACTGTTCCTGTAGTTTTATTGCAATAGAGGGAATATTTTGCTGAAATTTAGTGCCAAAATTTGGTGAATTTGTTAAAACTACACAGAACTGAAGAATGGGAGGGTTTTCAGAAAGCAAACAACGGCAGGAAAATGTTCCCTAACAGCCAATCACACGGCCCGATGAAAAGGACTTTTTTTTTTTTCTTTTGCTGGCGGGATTGAAGCCGTGTTCATGCTTCCACTTCAAGAAAACAAAAAACTCTGAAATGTTTTTTAATGTTTCATTACGTAAAAAGGGTCAGGAAGTTGAAATCTGCAACGACTGTTAGATTTTATTATATTCTTTCTGCAATAAAGACACTTTGAAATGATTGAGGATTCTGTCTTCTTTACAGTGTTCTGTTATACTAAGTTGACACATTTTAACCTCCCCAGAGTTATGCCAGTTAAAAACTTTAACATCTCTGATTGTCAAAGAATTAAACTCAGGGGAAAAGATCCTGGTGGCCAGCCTGCTGAAGACAATGAAGTTAGTCATCAATTAGTCCATCCTTTATTCCTCCTCCACTATAGGGCACAATGCTGCCACCTGCAGGGACACCAGCAGACTGCAGCAAATAATTCACTCTGCAGAGGAGGTGATAAGATGTTGTGGTTGTAAAATACAGATTTCTCTCATTGCATACACTCACCGGCCACTTTATTAGGTACACCTGTCCAACTGCTCGTTAACATTTAATTTCTAAGCAGCCAATCACATGGCGGCAACTCAGTGCATTTAGGCATGTAGACATGGTCAAGACAATCTCCTGCAGTTCAAACCGAGCATCAGTATGGGGAAGAAAGGTGATTTGAGTGACTTTGAACGTGGCATGATTGTTGGTGCCAGAAGGGCTGGTCTGAGTATTTCAGAAACTGCTGATCTACTGGGATTTTCACGCACAACCATCTCTAGGGTTTACAGAGAATGGTCCAAAAAAGAAAAAACATCCAGTGAGCCGCAGTTCTGTGGGTGGAAATGCCTTGTTGATGCCAGAGGTCAGAGGAGAACGGCCAGACTGGTTCGAGCTGATAGAAGGGCAACAGTGACTCAAATAACCACCCGTTACAACCAAGGTGGGCAGAAGAGCATCTCTGAACGCACAGTACGTCGAACTTTGAGGCAGATGGGCTACAGCAGCAGCAGACCACACCGGGTGCCACTCCTTTCAGCTAAGAACAGGAAACTGAGGCTACAATTTGCACAAGCTCATCAAAATTGGACAATAGAAGATTGGAAAAACGTTGCCTGGTCTGATGAGTCTCGATTTCTGCTGCGACATTCGGATGGTAGGGTCAGAATTTGGCGTCTACAACATGAAAGCATGGATCCATCCTGCCTTGTATCAACGGTGCAGGCTGATGGTGGTGGTGTCATGGTGTGGGGAATATTTTCTTGGCACTCTTTGGGCCCCTTGGTACCAATTGAGCATCGTTGCAACGCCACAGCCTACCTGAGTATTGTTGCTGACCATGTCCATCCCTTTATGACCACAATGTACCCAACTTCTGATGGCTACTTCCAGCAGGATAATGCGCCATGTCATAAAGCTGGAATCATCTCAGACTGGTTTCTTGAACATGACAATGAGTTCACTGTACTCAAATGGCCTCCACAGTCACCAGATCTCAATCCAATAGAGCATCTTTGGGATGTGGTGGAACGGGAGATTCGCATCATGGATGTGCAGCCGACAAATCTGCGGCAACTGTGTGATGCCATCATGTCAATATGGACCAAACTCCCCGAGGAATGCTTCCAGCACCTTGTTGAATCTATGCCACCAAGAATTGAGGCAGTTCTGAAGGCAAAAGGGGGTCCAACCCGTTACTAGCATGGGGTACCTAATAAAGTGGCCGGTGAGTGTATATTGATTTATACCATCTACTCACTGAAAGATGATTTTAAATCAATCTGTTTCACCTGCAAGGCCACAAAATGTCTGAGTGAGAGGAGTGTTTATAGACAATCCATTCTTATTTCCATAACAGGCCAGTTTCTTTGTCAGGGTTTATTTATAACATATTACTGTTTAACCAAAGTGTCTGTAATTTGTTTTGACTCTTGACTACTTTCCATTGTTGTAAGTAAAGAAAACAAACACTGTCCAGAACAGGGCTGATTACCATGCAATCAGGGCTGTATGACGTCTTGTTCTCTCTTTGCAAAGGTACAATAAAATGCCGAGTGAGTGAAATCCATCCATCTCTGTTTATTTAACTGGAGTTAATAGTTGAATACTTTTTTCCTACGACACGGCAACCTTCATTTTCACCAGCAAAATGAAGGTTCTGCAACTGAACCCATCTGACAGGAGGGCAGAATCATCAGGACCGAAACCTCCAACCACAAAAACAGCTTTTTCTTGACTGTAACTAGACTCATTGACATTTTGGTGTTAACATAATGGGAATATTTCTGCAAATAATATTAATATTCATCAATTTGTTCCTCCTCTCCTTTTTAAAAGTTGCAAAGTTGTTGTTTTTTTTCTCTCATCTCCTAACATTCCTAAACAACTTGTATTTGTTTACTACATCCATTTTTAAATGTATGTCAACTGTATATATTTGTGTTTGTAGCTTCTGATTGGCAAAGCAAATCCCCTTAATAGAGCTTCTTCTGATAATAAATCCAACTTAAACTGTTAAAGTAGTCAGAGACCTTCTAACATTAGTTATAAGATCTAGACAAGTAATCAGGATTTAATAACTGTGATCACTTCTGGGAATAACTTCTGTAGCAAAATATCTTGGAAAATTTTACTGTTCCTTTAAGTAATCGGGATTTTTTTTTTTTTTTTTTTCGGCACACATTTGCTTAAAAAAAAAACATCTTATTCCTTTTCTTATCAAGTAACATGAATGTCTTTTTGATATGTGACGATATTTTATGTATAGATCAACAAAAATTAAACCTCTAGATCAGGAGTCACCAGGACCACATAGGGGGCCCTCACTGTTTTCTGAAAAAAGAATAAATCAGTTTAAAAAAATATTAATTTTATTCTGTTGCTATTCTTTTTTTAAGCATTTCTGAAAACTTTTAAATTTCTACAAAAAAATTAAAAAGCAATAAAAATCCGTTTATTATTAAGTTTAGATTAATGCTGAACGCTGGCTTCCTGGTGGAACTCTCAAAGATAGAGCTTGTGTTGAACGGAAGGATTTGCGAACGGACCGGAAGTGGTGGTGTGATAGAGCTGCGTAGAAGGCACCTTACAGAATAACGGAGTGATGAATTAGTTTGTTTGTTAGAGATTTTTGTTGAGTTTTTCGCTGTAAATATGGCGGCTAAGCGTAAAGCGGAGGTTACGGTTCCTGCGGAGGAGAGCGACCAGCTGCTGATCCGCCCGCTGTGAGTTTAAACCGGACACTTTTCAGCCGCGAGCCTCACGCCAAACTCCTTTCACAAAACACAACTTTTAAGCGGTATTACAGAGAGGTTCCCAAAAGGAAACATATTTCTATTTTAAAATATAAACTAAGGCAAAAATGTTAAATTCGGCATAAATAAACATTTGCTGTTAGTTTCTTTAGCAGCTTTATACATATAGTTTTAATTCAGATTCCCTGTCTTTTTTTTATATAATCGCTTTTAATATTCTTTGTGTCTTGTTTAGAATTAGTGATATATATTTCCAAACTGAAGCAGTTAAAGGCAACATATTATCTTTAAGACCACACTAATTATAAAATGGAAGTGTGCGTAGAGAGTTGTGGTCTGATGGTGCGTTTGTGTGCAGAGGAGCCGGTCAGGAAGTTGGACGATCCTGCATCATCCTGGAGTTCAAAGGCAGAAAGATCATGGTAACTCTGTTCCTGTTGTTTGTTTGGTTGTTTTTTTTTTTTTTTTTTTTGGGGAAACCTGAGATTTTAAACCATCTTTTTTACTTTTAGCTGGATTGTGGAATCCATCCCGGTCTGGAGGGGATGGACGCTTTGCCCTACATCGATCTGATTGATCCAGCTGAGATCGACCTGCTGCTCATTAGCCAGTGAGTTTAAGAAACCAGCTTCAGGACAAATAAAAAGCTTCATCTGATAAACATCACTATAAGTCTCTGATTTGATTTTGATAAAGACACCCTGGTGTGCGTTTCCCAGGTCCAACAGTGGACAGAGGTTTGGTACCGTGGACTGTAGATGAGCCAAAACCTGCAGGATCCTCTCTGTTTTGGTCTGATGGGATAAACCTTTGATTTGTTCTTCTTTCAGCTTCCACTTGGACCACTGTGGAGCTCTCCCCTGGTTCCTGCAGAAGACCAGCTTTAAAGGACGCACCTTCATGACGCACGCCACCAAGGCCATCTACCGCTGGCTGCTGTCGGACTACGTCAAAGTCAGGTGTGTTAAGGGTCAGGTTAAATGGTGGAATATTGACAAATAAGCAGATCAGGAATTAGGGGAGTAAGTCAAAGTTGGGGTCAGTTTCATGAAGCAGGTTTAACAAATTCAAATCCGGAAATCTAAACTGATCTAACCTAAGATCTGGAGTGTTAGGTTTTACAGCAGCTGCTATCAATTAGTTCAGTCTATTTTAACTAGGTCCACTCAGAGTTAAGCGTGTGCGCAACAAGTTTGAAAAGCCATTATCAGCTGAGCACCGATTCAACGAGTCACCATGGGCTATGGCAGGCCGTTTTTACATTTTTAATATATATATATATATATATATATATATATGAAGAATATGGGAATGTCATTTTTTTTTTATTGTCATTTGGACAAAGAAAAAATGTTTTTTGCAGATTTCAGACTTCTTTAAAAAAAAAAAAACTTTTCAGCTCACTAAAAATATTTAATTCTGTGTGAAAAAATGCCAATCATTCTTTAATGAGTTCCTTGTCAAACGTACATGCCATGTTTGTTTATAAAACGTGTTTAACGGACCTAATGAAGCATAAACTACGACAAAAATCAGACTAAATCAGGAAATAAACCGGCGTTATTGGGAGAGCGGAGACAGAGAATGATTAATAATTCTGTGTTTTCTCTCTTGTCTCATCTATTGATCAAGTTTTTTTTTTATTCATCCAAACTTTCCTTTTTGCCGGCTGTGTCTCGTCATGTCCCGTCTCTCAGTAACATCTCGGCGGATGACATGCTGTACACTGAGACGGACCTGGAGGACAGCATGGAGAAAATCGAGACCATCAACTTCCACGAGGTGAAGGAGGTGGCGGGCATCAAGTTCTGGTGCTACCACGCCGGCCACGTCCTGGGGGCCGCCATGTTTATGATCGAGATCGCCGGCGTCAAGGTGTGTCCATAAATACGTAGCCTAGTTTCGTTGTGTTTAATGACATAGGGGAAGAGAATTACGAGTATTTAACCTGAAAACCAAAGTTGATGTTCTAAGCAGACCTGAGCTCTTCTTGTTCCTCCAGCTGCTGTACACAGGAGACTTCTCCCGACAGGAGGACAGACACCTGATGGCTGCAGAGATCCCCAGCGTGAAGCCAGATATCCTCATTACAGTGAGTGATCCAGCATAGACCTGCTCTTTTACATCTTCAGCTCTCCGCAGGACGGACTGGTCTCTGCTGAAATTTACCTACGCTGTCAAACGTTGAAAGATGATAACAGCAAGCTTTTATAACTGTTACGCTTTTAGCAGTTATCTAGCAGGAGAAGTTTGTTTAATCTGGAAGACTCAGACATTTGAAAATCAATTAATCAATTTGTTGTTCTGGTCCCTTCAACCATAACATCCGGGGGAGGTTTTGATAAGGGGAAGTCCAAATCCAGAATAACACTTATTGTTTTGAGAGCAGGCTGCAAAGGAATTTTCTGTCATTTTCTGTTTTGGTTTTTTTCGCTTGTCAGGTCTAAGCACCTAAAACATCATACATACATACAGGGAAAGAAAGAAGGCACAGAGACAATTAATTTAGTTTTACTCGCAAGGAGAGCAGGAACAGACTGGAGAGTTTACAAATCTCCAACCCCACTCTGCCAGTCTTCAGCTTTCTCCTCGCTATTTATTAAAGTCGGGGGTGTTCCCTAGTTACACAAGCTGAGGTTGCCCTAAAGAAATGGGAAACAAGAAATACAATTCAATTTGCATTTAAATGTCTTGCGGTCAAATGGTCCGAGAAGCTCCTGGTTTCGTTAAAGGAATAGTACACCCAAAACATGATTAGCCTTCATTTTCTACTCACCCCCATGCTGAACAACACTCTGGAATACTTTTTTGATATCTCAAATGCATCTGGAGATCTGGGAGGCTGCTTGCTGTCTGCTGACATTCAATAATGGAGGTCTATGGCGCCCGAGGCAGAAAGGTCCATAAAAAACATGTCAATATTCCTCCATACTGCTCGTCCAATGTATTCCAAGTGTCCTGAGTGGGTAGCGTCCATAATTTACTCGAAACGAAGTCATTTAGAATGGTTTTTAGAGCATAAACAGTAGTGTATAGGATTTCCTGAATCGGCCTGAAAAGGGCAAAAAAATGGAACAGTGTACGCCCGGCCTTAGTGTTCCACGGTGACTTATTGATTAGAACGAGGCGTGTTGGGGCAGAGAAATTAGGTCACCCTGCAGGATGAGGGTCACAGAATTAATCACCATTATTTTTAAGTTAATTAGCGGTGTAATGAATTCATCTAATTAATGCCTCAAACTGACGGCCCTAATTAAAATAGTTGAAGTCTTCCCTGGTGGGGAGATCTTTCTTTGTTCCACTGTGGGGCTCCACCTCTTCCTGGCGGCCCTCGGGGTTCGGTTTTCAGACGCACATTTCAGCGTAGCGGGCTTTGATCAGCGTCTGACTGTCAGTATTATTATTATTTTAATCATACTTTAAATAATCCCAGAGGGAAATTAATTCTCTGCCAAACTCACAACCTCAGGATTCAAAGCCCTATGTCCTAACCACTAGGTCGCCACTCCCAACATGGCCGCCAACACAGAGAATAGATGGAAGGAAACGGGACTGGACTTAATTAGCAAAGAGGCTCAAAAGAAAGAAGATGCAGCAGAGAAAGAACTTCAGCCTCCAACTTTAATTTAATTTTCCCCTCGGGAGAAATTAAGTTTGCAGGAGGATGATAACATAAAAACATTGGAAAACAATCGCAGCATTAAACCATGAAGGATAACTTAAACTTAAAATTCAGGTTTAGTTTTGTTCATTTTTGCAGCACATTAGAACATTTAATGTTATTTAAAAGGTTTAATTTAAAACGTGCTTTAGAAATAAAGTGGATTGGATTAAAAAAATAAACTTTAGATGTAGGATTATTGAGACCAAGTGTTCAGGAATAACGGGTGGAAACTGCTTGATCTGGATTGTTGCGCCTCCTATTGGTGGAAATTAGACATTTAAATTTATTTAGCTTTTAGTTTAAGTCTTCTCATTTGAATCAAAGTATAAAATAGACTTTAGGGTCTCCAGCTGATTTCTGTCAGTTTCTGCACAGATCTGGAGAAAACAATCCATAATCCAGTGTTACAGATGTTTAAACCTTTGAAGCTGGAAAATTTGGAAAAATCTGATAGTTATTCTGGAAATATTGTTTCTATAAAACCTTGCATTATGGTTCTACATAGAGTCTGAACCGGTGGGTTCTTCCGTCTGAACCCGAGTCATTAACAGCTCTTTTGCCCGACAGGAGTCGACGTACGGGACACACATCCACGAGAAGCGGGAGGAGAGGGAGGCTCGCTTCTGCAACACGGTGCACGACATCGTGAACAGGGAGGGCCGCTGTCTGATCCCTGTGTTTGCTTTGGGGCGAGCCCAGGAGCTGCTGCTCATCCTGGGTGAGTTCATCCTCTGTCATGGTCAGACGCTGGAGACTTTCCAACTGAAATCAGACTCTGGGTTCTGACCCTGTTGATGTTTTTGTTGTGTTTCTATGTTTAAAGTAGTTAAAAATAATTTTTTAGAAGGAAGTTTGTTAATCACTGTAATCTCTTTTTTTTTTTTTTTTACCTAGATGAGTACTGGCAGAACCACCCAGAGCTCCACGACATTCCCATCTACTACGCCTCGTCTCTGGCCAGGAAGTGCATGGCCGTCTACCAGACCTACATCAACGCCATGAACGACAAGATCCGCAAAGCCATCAACGTCAACAACCCCTTCGTCTTCAAGCACATCAGCAACCTGAAGGTCAGGGAGCCGTTCGGCCGCCGCCGCCCTGCTGCAGCCGCCCTGCTGCAGCCCTGAGCGCCTTCATGTTCACGGGGCTTTCGTTTTTGTTGCCACTCAGAGCATGGACCACTTCGACGACATCGGCCCCAGCGTGGTGATGGCGTCTCCTGGTATGATGCAGAGCGGCCTGTCCAGAGAGCTGTTTGAGAGCTGGTGCACGGACAGAAGGAACGGGGTCATCATCGCTGGATACTGTGTGGAGGGAACGCTGGCCAAGGTGGGTTAGCTGGTCAGTCAGAGAAACAGGACTACACTGAAAAACAGGCCAAGCTCCAACATCTAGAAACAGGAACAGATCAGATGAAGCTACTGTGAGAAAAAGCAGAGAGAGCAGAACGTTAGAGATTGAACTAACAGATTCTGCAGAGTGGGAGAATAGAGATAGAATGAAGCAGAATGATGAAAAAGGGGTCCCTATGTCCTCCAGCAGTCTAAGCCTATAGCAGCAGAACTATAGAGATAGATCAGGATAACCTGAGCCACTCTAACTAGAAGCTTTATCAAAAAGGAAAGTTTTAAGCCTAGCCTTAAAAGTAGACAGGGTGTCTGCCTCACGGACTAAAACTGGTAGTTGGTTCCACAGGAGAGGAGCCTGAGAACTAAAAGATCTGCCTCCCATTCTACTGTTAGAAGCCCTACTGGTTATAATGGTTAAGCCCTGCCCACTTCACATCTACTCACCAAATCAGATCTGGGATCAGACCGACTCCTGATCATCACTGGAAATATGAGGGAAAAAAACAACTGAATTCTCAATTTTTCCAATCTGATAAATCTTCTACTATTGAGGAAGAGCTCCCCCTGGTGGTAAACACCGATTTAATCTACTTCAATCAATCCAAACATAATTTACTCTTTATTCATTAATACAGTAAAACACACCTATTATGTTAATACATCTTAAAGTTTCTGTAGCTGATTTATTTAAATATGCAATAATTTTTATGTTTTATGAACTGTTGATGTCAATTCCGATATTTAAACTTTTTAATGACGTGTTTCAAAAGTTAAAAAATCTGTAGGACAACTTGGATTGTTGAACAAATGACTGATTTTGTCTAAATCTTTATCTAAATCTTATAAAACTTCAAACCAAACGAGAATTCAGCAAATTTTTCACTTGGTTTGTTTCCTCCACCGGTATGGCAAGCTGATTTAATATTTAATCAGAATGTTTACTATAAAATAAAAATTACACAATATCTGAACTGGGGCTGCAACTAATGAGTATTTTGATTTTGCTAATTGACTAATCTGTGGATTATTAGATAATTGAGTTTTTTATGGTCTTGCTGATGATATAAATATTTTAATTTTGGAACAATAAAAAATAAATTTTAGTTTTACATGTTTGCTGTGAGTTTAAAGGTAAACATTCAGTTTAAAAATAGAAAGAATAAAAGACATGTTAATGGTGATAAAATCTAGAAAATGTTCTAAGAAATGAAAGTTTAAATTCAGCGTTGATCTTTTTTTAAACTTAAAAATATGGAACACCAGGAGTGCTAAAAAAATAAAACAAATATAGAAGCAAAAAAATATAGATTTTTCTCTTGGAATATGTAATACATGCATTGTAAATTAGATTTTTAGATATTTGTATTTTTTTTTTTTATCTGTGGATTATTAGATAATTGATGCCGATAATCGGATAGACAAAGGTTTCCTAAAGAAGATTTTAAATCAGGTGAAACTAAAACTTTTTTACTTATGGGTGTTCTGGATAGAGTAGATTGACAGACGAAAAAGTATTTTTCATCTTAAAACAAACTTTTTATATATATTTTATTTATTTTATATAGATTTGTTTATAATCTTGATAAAATTGCTGCTATAAACAGGTCGCTATGTCAGCTTAAGGTATCATTTTCTGTTTCCACAGCCTGGTTAACGATTAATCAAGCTTATGCATTCCCACTTATTGTTTTTCTGTTTATATTTGTGTGAATGCTGTAGGCATTCACACTATTGAGATCCTGTTTCTCTTTATTCTTTATTTATTATTATTTTTATTCTTCCGACCATTTTTTGTAACGCTACTACTTCTGCATACTTTATGCTATTTCAACCATTCAAATTTCACAATATTCAGCTCA